GAGCTGAGGACCTGCCCCTCTGTGCAGATTCTTCTGACAAGCACCACCATTCTCTGGGGCAAAACTAAGATGCCAGTTAAGAATATAGCATTAAAATAAGTGGAAAGGGACAGGGAGTAAGATTCAAACTAATTTTGCATCAGCCACTTATGCCTATTAGGAAGTACAAGCCATAGTCCTGGGCACTGCTCGTAGGGCGACACTCAGAGACGTACTCAGCGAGGTGTCTCTAGACAGCCACGTTCCTAGCCTGAGTGAGGACAGATGTGTTGCTCTCAGGATTCCAGAACACAAAGAGGTGAATGTTTTGCAGGAAAGCTGAGCTCACAGCTGAACTTAAGTTTGGGATACCTGGGAGTGACAATGAGGGGAATTTGGGTAGATTCACTGAGCGCTCTAGAAAGGAGTATGGGGGGCCAGGGAGATGGCTCAGTAGAATAAGCGCTTGTCTGGCAAGCACAAGGGTCTGAGTTCAATCCCCCAGTTCTGCCAAAAAAAAAAAAAAGAGAAAGGAGCAGGCTGCGAGTGACACAGTGAAGCAATGTAAATAGTACAGACTTTAGGGTAGAGAGAGAAAAAAATGTGGGAGAGTAATTTATGATTTGTATCTAGATGTCCCCACCAAGCCTCCTGCAGTCACGGGGCAGCTTCTCAAGCTTGCCATGGATTCTTGGCTCAGTGCTGGGATGAGGACTGCCTGCGGTGGGCAGCTTGCATAAAACGCAAGGGAAGAAAGAGGCTTGCTTTTGCTGCTCTCTTTTTGTTCTTGTAGTCCTCCTCTGCCACGTGCCACCTTGCCGTGGAGCCAGTTAGGCACGGACTGAAACGTCCACAAGCTGTGAGCTAAATAAACCTTTCCTTCCTTAATTTAGGGCACCAGGTATTTTGTCTCAGCAACGAGAGAAAAGTAACCTATTTAAAAGGCCAGAACTTTCTATTTAGTTAAGGGTAAGTGACCCTCCTAGAATCTGAGAACGGTTGAAAAGGAAGCAAGAAAATTAGAGAGTGCTTTAAGAAGCACAAGGCTGTTGGCAGTGTTGAGTGTTGCACTGTTTGACTGAGAGAGCTGAAGGATCCGCCCAGGTGTAGGTGGGAATTCATCAGGTCCTCTACCTGAAGTTCTCAGTAGAATGGAGGGAAATGTGGCCATTGTGAAATTACGGAAAGGGCGGGAGTTGCGGCGGTGAAAACTAGAATGAAGAGTGTTGAAGAAACCTGACTGTGGAAGACACGATCAACAACCAGGGGCATCTCAGTAGGGTGTGAAAACCTATTTTCTAAGGTAGCATAGCACGGAAGGTTGGGCTTCAGAACTCGGCATCAGTGAGGAAGATGGGGTCCGCGGTACGTCTCTGAGATGTCCAAGGGTACCGTCAGGATTCTCAGGCCAAAGTGGGCAGGAACTAGAGGGGAGAGAAGAAGGTCGCCAAGTGACATCCAGTGACAAGTGACTTGGACATGGACACCTGGGGCAGAACCCGCATGGCGAAGGGGCACTACCTTCAAGGGAGGGTGCTGTTTTCCTGAGGATAGAGGAGCACTTCCTCGGGAGGTTAAGAGATGGCAGAGACTCGGGCCGTGATGCTCGTGCTTTCCGGCACATTAAATCCATGTGCTGCTGACGCGATGGGGCGAGCCCCGGCTGCACCACGCCACGGTGCGTCTCCCGCTGGGGCTCTGGGGCGCCGGATGCCCCGCGGGGACGCAGCTTCCTCTGCGGGTTCGCGGCCCGAGACAAGGAGTGTGGCGCAGCGCCCGGGCCCTTTCCCGTATTCGGCTCTCACTCTACCTGCGGCGCCCAAGTTCAAGCCCCCCAGCAGTCGCTACAAGCCGAAGGAGCCCGCCGCACCAGCCTGCCGCGGAGGCCTCTGGGAACGGCCCGGCGGGACAGGGCGGGGCCAAGGCCTGGGCTCCCCGGGGCGTTTCCGAGCATCGCCCAAAGAGGATGCTCAGGCTCCCAAATCCCTCCTGGTTCTCTTGTTTCTGCTTCCACAGTGTTGAAGGGCTCAAGTTCGGGGTACAGGGGCGCTGAGCCAGACAATGGTCTCAGCTCTGCGTCCCTTGCAGAGGCCTGAGTGCTGAGCGGAGCGTAGTCGCACACCAGAGGCTGCTGTAGCGCCCAGGTTGGAAGAGGCTGCGAGGAAGATTCGTGCAATAGAGGTGCCAGGCTGGGGTGCTTGGAAGTCGGAGGACAGGAAAAGAAGGAAACTGAGTGTGACCTCAAGACTTTGTGAGGAGTGTGACTTCAGGGCAGCCACAATGCCTTTTGGGGCCGAGGATCGGTGGTGTCATCGCTGGTAGGTTTGTGGGGACCCTGAGCACACAGATACAGGAAGCCAGAGGTGGGTAGAGGAGCCACAGAGAGGGCTAAGGACAGGGCCTTGGGGATAGGGGTCCCCCAGGGAGGCTGCAGTGGCGGGGTGGTGGTGGTGGTACGGGCCTTTGGAGTTTGAAGGAAATTTTCAGATGGAAGGATGGGAACCCAGAAGCTGAGTTAGAGCTACAGACATGGCAGGTGGATTGGGAAGAGGGTCATGAGACTGGGGATCCTGATTGTGCTTGCAGTCCCTGACTGGAGGAGAGAAGGAGAGGCGCAGGAGTCGGGGGAACCATGCTGTCAAGTAATCCTGTTTTTTGGAGAAAGGGGTGGAGGCAGACAGAAGGCAGAGAGCCAAGTCCAGGCTGTCGGGTGGGTGTGGCAGGCAGAATAACACCACCTCCTCAGGTACACCATGCCATCCCTGGAACCTTTCAGTGTGTTGCTTTTTATTTTTTTTTCAGTCAGATTTTATTGGAACATTTTAGATATACATAAAGATCACATTCATTGTAAGGAATCTGTACAATATGCTGCTTTACATAGCGGAATGTGATTAAGGATTAAGCTACATGGGCTGGTGAGATGGCTCAGTGGTCTAAAGCACCTACTTAGAACAAACTAAGCCAAGCAAAGCACAGGGACGCATTTCAATCCCCCAGCACCACATGCCAGCCAGCCCCGCCCCCTGGTGGGCTGAGCTGGCCACACACAAAATAAAATAAATAAATAAATAAATAAATAAATAAATAAATAAATAATTTTTTTTAAAAAAGGATTAAGCTACAGACCTTGGAATTAGGGAGATTATCCTGGATTATTTGAGTTGGCTGGATGCAATCCCAAGGGTCATTAAATGAAGGAAAGAGGAGACAGAGGAAAAGGTTAGAAGTTGTGACTGTGGATGCTCAGACAGGACATGTTGCTGGCTTTGAAGGTCAAGAAAGGGCCATCAGCTGGCCTCAAGCAAGAAGGGGTAAGGAAGTAGGTTACCCTCCAGCTTCTAGGAAGGGACATAGCCCTGTATGGTGACATACTGATTGGATCCCAAAGTTCCTGTGGGGAACTCCTGTGGAGCCACCAGATAATAAAGGTGTGTTTTAAGTCACCATGCTTATGGTCCTTTGCTGCTGATAAAGAGGACCAGGGACATGGTGGGAGGCCAGGCCACCTATGAGAGAGTGGGGAGGCAGTGTGAACTAACTGGCAGAGTGAGAGCCCAAGGTACTAGGCTGCACCACAGGCAGGAGCAGCTGTCACTCTAGGAGATAATGGTAGTCAACACTGTGGGAGCCATTTTTAATGGCTCTGACCAACCTTGATGATGAAGGGCGGGAGAATCACAAAGATATTCACTAGCATCAGGTGCTGGGGAAAGAATGTGTTTTGTTTAGCACCCCTCTGACACATCAGGATACAGTAATGCTCCTGAAGGCCAGAGGCCAGTTCTGGGTCAGAGGGCCTGAGGGTTTGGTCCTTGCTTTTGGCCTTGGGCAGGTCCTAGTCCCAGCAGCACTTTCCCTCAGGTCAGCCTCTTGAACCTCATCCCAGGCTCCCCCAGGGTTTTGGGAAGCTGTGGCGAGGGTGGAAATTAGAGCAGACTTATTCTTTCAGAGTGGTCCCTGGCAAATGCTCCCCAGACAGCATTGGAGCTCATCATGGTAGCCTCTGGGTATGCTGAGAGCCACAGGAACCACAGGGCTCACAGAAGGACCTGTTATCCACCCATGTCCCTGCAGCCATTTGCCTCAGTCTGAGGTGATGAAACCACCCCAGGAAAAATTCCCATTTCTCAGTTCCTCAATTGTGGATGCCCCCTTACCCCAGCAACTCAGCTAGTTGCTAAAATTCACGGCATCTGGTTGTGGCCCAGTGGCTGAGGTGTGCAGCTGAATGGCATGGAAGCCAGGGTGAACCCCAGCTCTGAAACACCTCTAGTGGCCAGGCCCTGACTGGGAGCTTTTGTAAAGGGAGAGCTGGGAAAGCTGTTTTTGAAGCAAAGGCACATGGCCCAAGAGGAAAGCCAGACATCAGTCCTACATCCTTACATCTACCACTGCCTAGGCAATGCCAACTCGAGAACAAGCTGCTCTGGGGCCTGGAGCAGGCAGATGAGCTAACCATGGCACTGACTGCTGCTGGCTGTCCATCCCATCACCCTCTCTGTCCCTGGGGGTTCTGACCTCCTGGGCCCAGTTGACCTCAGGTTCAGGCTACTTGGGACTATGGCACCCTCACTTCAAGCCATGATCTACCTGGGATTCCTTCCCCTGAAGTCAAGAAAAGTGACAGACTAACACAAGTAGAGTGTGTGTCACATGCAGGAACCCTGTACCACTTCTTTGAAAGATACTTCCAAGCCAGAGGACTAGCAGATGGCCATCAGTGCTGTTATTCCCCAGAAACTGGTGAGCAAAAGAATACAGGGACAGGTCACTTCCCTATTACTGTTACCCTGGAGCAAACCTCACACCAATGGAGTTGTTCTCCAGGACACAGAGGATTCCAGGGAGAGGAGGCCTGGCCTGAGGGCCTGCCCAGCAATTGGGAGGGCTCCATCACCACCTGACTGATGATAAACTGTGAGAGAATTTAGAAAACATTCACTAGCATCACTAGGAGGGGAAAATGTACTCCATTTAGCATTTATTCTTCAAAGACATTAATGACACCACACCAGGGATACCTCAAAGGTACCTAACCCCAGAGTCCTTTATTTAATTCAGTTGGCAACCAAGTATGCAAACTCAAGTGTGCTACAAGCAAGCCTGTACAGAGCTGCTCTGAGTGCTGCTGCGGGCGCTGCCTCTCCTGGTCTCCTACCTCAAGTGGCAAATTTAAGCTTCTATTAAGTCCAAGGCTGTCAGGACCGAAGTGGCCCTGCCTAGGACTAGAGCCCAGGCCCCAGGAGAGAACCAACACCACCCCTGTTCACCTCTGCCAAAGAGTCACAGAGTGCCTGGGAAGGCTCGAACAGGTGAAAGTCAGCCAGCCCTCCCAGCTCTAAGCAATTTCTGCTGTCCCAGCTCTTCCCCTCCATCCCCCCCACAGCTGAAGGGTTCATTAAAGTGCCTCCCTCAGGAAACAGGGGCTTCTCTGGGCTGGGCATCAGGGACTGCCCTCAAGTCATCCATGGAAAGAGGACAGAACTGAGAGACAGCTTAGGCCTGCCCCTCACCTGATCCCCATGGGAGACAGACAGGCTTGGAAAGTTACAGCCCACACCACAGGTCCCTGCTGGTGTTGGTCACCAGGGCCTCCAGACACACTGGGATATCTGGGCCACCGTCAGGCTGTTCAAGGCCTCAGGCACCGAGCCCCGTCCCTCAGCAGATGCCCGACTCAGCTCCCCTTCGGGGACTACCTCCAGGTCAGAGCAGAGGTCGTCCGTGGGGGAGAAGGGACTGGGCAGTGGAGAGCCCGGGACCCCAGTTGGACTGGCCAGGGCATCCCCTAGCAGATCGTGGAAGCTGCTGCCCTCACGCAGCGGCATGGACTCCAACAGGTGGTTAAGGAGCTCGGCTGCGACCGTGGCGTCGATGGCCTGGCAAGTGGACACGAACGTGTGCACCTCGTGCATGCACTGGATGTAGCCGGCTGCGAAACGCTCGCTGGCTTCCGCCTGTAACTGTTCACGCTCTGCGCCACGGACCCAAGGGCAACAACGCGATGAGTGGCGACAGAAAGGCCCGCCCGGCCCGGGGAGAGCCCCCCGCGCCCAACCGCCACTCACCGCGAACCCGGCCCCGCAGCGCGCCTTGCACGCGCCGCACCGTCAGCTCCAGCACTTCGGCGTTCTCCAGCTTGGCCTGCACCTGCGGGGGCCGGGTGGTGAGCGCGCCGCGCACCCAGGACCCGCGCACCCCGCACCCGGCGCCCGCCGCACCTCGGCGCCCGCCAGCAGCAGCCGCAGCTCCTGCAGGCTCTCGTTGATCCGCGCGCGTCGCTTCTTCTCCACCAGGGGCTTCCGGGCCTGCGGAAAGTGGGCGCTGAGACCCGGCCTCGCGCAGCCGCCCGCAGCCCGCCCGGCCCCCGGGCCGGCCCGAACCTTGCGGTCCCCTCGCATTTCCCAGCTGTCCTCATCCTCGCGGCCCGCACGGCCACGGCCGGGCACTTGGTGCGGAGCCATGGCCCCCGAGCCGGGAATGGCGAGCGTCTGCACCCCGCGCCGCCAGGCGACGGCTGGGACAGAGCGCTGGCCGCCTCAAGTCTTCCGGCCCTCGAAGGCCCCGCCCCATTTATAGGAGCTTATTTGCATCTGAATGCCTTCATTGGCTGTGTGGATCCCGAGCCGCCTGCCGCGAGGCGCTCTGCGGCCAATAGGAACGGCGCGCTTTGTCCAGCCCCGGCCGCCTGGCAGCTGGCGGGGCGGGGCCTGGGCCCGGCCTTAGTGACCCCGGGGGCACCTCGAGGGGGCGGTGACCCGGGACTGCGCCCGCTGACGCTGCTTCCCTCCCTTAGCTGCTCGAGGAGCCGGTCTGCCGAGTGTGAGACAGGGGCTCTCCGCGCGACTGGGGCTCTCTGCGCGACTCCCCGCGTGAGCATCCTTGCGACGTCCCGCGCTCCCTCCATACGTCCACCCTGTGTGCCTTCTCTTCCCCGATTCAGCCCTAGCCCCAGTCCAGACCTTGGTCTCCTGACCCGGGGCAGGCCAGGTGGGCGCGAAGTCCAGGAAGATGGGGGCCAGTTGGACAGTGGGGTTGGATTAGGGTTAGGGTCACGGCTCTTGCAGACGCCTGCAGCCCCACACTCCCAGAATCTGGAGGTGGGGCAGGGAACTAGGGTCCCTCCCTGGGCTCTCCCCCTCTTCTTTCCTGGTTCCCTCTTAATACTCCTAATACGCATCGTTTTTCCCTGTCAGCACCCCACCCCCTCTGAGCACCTCTATTTCTCTGTCCCCTTTAACACCCTACTGTCACCTTTCCTTGCTTCCTCCCTCTCATTCCTCCTCGGCCCCCACCCTTTGTGTCCCTGCCTCCCAAGTCCCTTTGGGAAGCAGGGCGTTCCAGTCAGCGGAGTCCTCAGTGTGAGTGTCCCGTAACCCCCCCCCCCCCCCGCCCTGCGGTGGAGCTGCCGTCTGGCCCGCGTAACTTGATGCCCCTGACAGTTGGCAGCTGCAGCCGCGCCAAGAGCGACAGGTGCTGGCCGCGCCTTTGTCTCCTCCTCTTTGTCCAGGAGGCGGCGGGCACGCTTGTGTCTGCAGATGCCCGCGACCCCAGGCCTGGCCGCCCATCTGCCGGCCCCACCTCGCCGCGGGGAGTGCGTGGGCGGGGGTGGGGCAGGACCTTGCCCCTTCCACCAGGGCTGGTGGGTGCCATGCCTTCTCTACTAGGCCCTTGCACACACCTGGTCTTCTGGGAACACCTCAGTTTCCTAGGGGACCGTGCTGTCCCCCCCCCTACTCTTCCTATGGGGTCAGTACTACTCTTCTGTGCTGGGATTGTTGCGGTCTGCCTTGAGCCCCTCCGACACCCTTCTTTGAGAGTTTAGCATAGGACACCCTGACCCCAATGAGCAGCTGTATGGGAAGGGATGGTAAAGGGTGGCCCTAGTCCTGGGGAAGGGGAATACCTCTGAAGAGTGATGGCAGGGTGGCAGGACTGGACAAAAGACTCCCCCCCCCCACCTTCCCAAAGATGGGTCTGATGGACCTTTAGCTTCAGGGTGGGCGAACTGTGAGAAAGTCACCTTCCAGGCCTATTGGAACCCTCGGGGCTCCTGAGCACACCTACCTGTTCCTAGTCTGCCTTCAGCCTAGCCTGTGTGTTCAACTGGACTCCCCTAGCTGGTCACCCACACCCCCTGTTGCCCCAGTCTGCCCCCAAGCTCAAGAGCTGGGCCCATCCACCCTCTGGGGCTCTTCAGAGACTCTCCTTGGGCAAAGGCTGACAGGGTGGGGTGGGTCCCAAGGGACCACAGAGCTGTCTTTCCTTAGGTGTCCCTCCCAGGAAAGGAGACTCCCAAGTGAGGACAGCAACAGTTCCCTCACATGGAAAAAGTGAGACAGGAAGTAACAAGTGCAGCAATATTTCATCCACTCCCAAGTGTGCAAACTGCTGCATCCTCCTCCCATTATCTGAGAGAACAAGGCTAAACATGTTTCAGAACTGCATAAAACACACTTCACACAGGGACAGCAGGATCAGGGTCCTGGGGAGGCCTCTGAGGAAAGACCCAGGGTGGGCCACCTTGTTAACCGAGGATTTGCATGCAGGGAGCAGAGGAGGACATGATAAAGGCAAGTGGGGGGGGGCAGGGCACAAGGAAGTGCAGGAAAAACAAGACATTGCCCAAGAGAAGAAATGTAACCTTAGCACAACTGGGCTTAGGAGCCAAGAATTCTTTCACAGTCACAACAATGAAATGCTATAAATTTCCAAGATTTAGCACCACCCTACACAGAAGGAAGGCTTGTTCTTGGTTATAGGACATCAAAGGCTGTGGGGGAGAGGAGACTGTCTAGAGTTAAAGGAAAGAGAAGTAAAGCCAGGGAACAAGGAGCACAAGGCTAGAGCAGGGCATTCCAGTCAGCAGAGTCCTCAGTTGGATTGGAAGTCGCCTGCGGGCCCATTTGTGACATCAGCTTTAGTTTCCTTTACTGGGCCCACTGATGAGTGGCTTGACTTTTCTGTCCCAGAAGCCTGGCTACCCCATCTTGGGCTGCCACACCCGCCCTCCTCCCCCCAGCTGCCCCACTTTCGAAGTGTGGCTGAGCACAGCTTCCTGGACATCTGGACCTTTTGATCTTCTCGAGCCAGGAACAGAGAGCAGCAGAGGCTGGGCAGAGTCACGGTGGCCACAAGGGGACCAGGTAGCAGTGTGAGTAGCGCGCAGGCCATAAATCCCCAGGGGAACAAAGGCAGTGCCAGCCTGCAGCCGTCTGCGCCCTGATGGGCAACCTGCCTACATCACTGACAGGACCTCCTTTTGGTCTGGAAGTAAATGAGATCGTGGCCTTGGGGTTGGAGGGTGAGGGAAATGCACATAGGTCCAGGCAAGCCCTTGGTTTTGTGAGCAGCGGCTCTGAGGGTGGTGTGCAGAGCTGTGCTGGCTTGGTTTTTTTTTTTTTTTTTTTTTCTTTTTATTGTCTTCTTGAGGCAGGGTCTTGCTATGCAGCTCAGGCTGGGCTTGAGCTCATTTTGTACACTAGGATGATCTCAAATTCACAACGATCCTCCTGTCTCAGCCTCCCAATTGCTGGGCTTACATGCCTGCGCCACCATACCCAGCCTGGCTAGGCCTGTTGGATCCTGCAGCAGCACTTGGCAGGAGACAGCTGGCTTTCCAGAGCTGGAGTGTAGGATGGTTCATTCCTCTACTCCAGTCCCAGCCTCCACCTCTGTGGCCAGGTTTCCTAAGGTGCCATCACTGTAGAAAGGTCCAGAGTGGGGGGCTGGGGCCAGAAGTGTGTATCGTTGACAGGGACACAAAGCATCTCTGCGTGGCATGCCCGCTCCTGTCTTCAGCACTGTGGTCAGCACACAGGCGGCAGCTGCTGCAGAGGAGGGGGCAGGAGGAGGGGACAGAGTGGATGCTGGCTTGGTGGGGCCATCTGCATCAGAGAAAGCTCATTAGGGCACGGCCAGGTGTGGACAGAAGGGACAGTGCTGTGGACAGGCACTGTCCCAGGGAAGCCTCCAAGAGGCTCGGGAAGCAAGGATTTCCCCTTGCAGAACTCTAGGAGTTCTGCTGGAAAAGCTCCAGTGGCTCTCTTTCAGCCCTAGCAGTTTCTTGACTGTGTTGCATTAAATGCACGCGCACTTGGCTGCCGGCCCGCCCTGAACAGCAGAGCCCGTGCTCAGCCCACGCGAGGCCCCAGGCTCGATCCCCAGCAGCACTCAACAAACAAGAAGTAAGCATACGAGTGAAAATAAAAATATACCTGCTTTATTTACCAATTTTCTAAAAGGCAAAAAAGTCATAAAAAGACAAAAGCAGTCACACAAGTATATTGCACTGGGTGAAGGAAGTTTGGTTCGCACATGAACAAACCACTTGTCCGGCAAGGCTCAACAAATCATTACACAAACTCAGAGGGCTTATTTACGTAGCTTGTCAGGAATATATGAAAAGAAGGCTCAGTTTAAATAGAAAGTTCTATGACACCCGTGTAGGCACACACACCAAAGCAAACAGGACTGGTGCTTGGCGGCAGAATGTAAACAGGTCCGCAACATTCTCCTAGTAGGTCAGCTTCTTAGCAGTTGACAATCAATGAGCATATATTAAATAATAAAATAACGCTGAGGATGAACACTCATGACAGTAGAGAACGTTCTGGCAGTCTCGTCTTTAGTTAAGGTCAGGGTAGCCTCAGTCTTCATCTACCCTTAAGGTCTGGCTGTCGAGGCAGGCAGCAGTCTGTAACATCTAACTTCCATAAAAGATGAGTTCCTACCTTATCTGGGGCATCTTTAGGTGATGTTGCTTTGTAAATTTAAAAATTCTTCATTTAGGAGGCTGAGGCAGGAGGATCACTGTGTGTTTGAGGCCAGCCTAAGATACACACTGAATTCAAGGCCAGCCTGAACTACATAGCAAGACCCTGTCTCAAAACACAAACAAACGAAAACAACAAAAGTTTTTGCATTTTGTAAAAAGTAGGATTAATATTCAGGCATGAAGTAGTTTACTGTGCAATCCAGCGGTGGACAAGGAGTTGTGCCTTTCTCGGAGCTCTGTCTCTGTCAAGGGACAGGACAGCCTGTTTCCTTTCCAGCGTCAGGAACTTGGGCAGTTCTCAGCTCGGTGGCCCTGGCTGGTACTTTCTCCTTCATACCAGGCACTAATGTCAGGCTTTCCCGAACAGTCTCCGGGATGTCTGGGGCAGTGTAAGGTTTGGTAAAGCTGGGCAGGGTAGCCTCCTTCTCCCCAGGCTCAGGTGACCTGAATGCCAACAGTGCTGGTTGGTGCCAGGCCAGAGCCCAGAAACTACATCCCATGCTGGCTCACGACATGGGGTCAGACAGCCTGTGAGTGTGTGGGCATGGGTGAGCGCAAGGGACCCTGGGAGCCAAGACGTGCACTGTGCTCTGTGGAAGGGCGCTGGCTCTGCTGGGCTGGAACCAACGTCCGAGCTCCAAGTGAGGAACAGACACAACTGGGTCTCCAGTGTCAAGGGCAGAGCCTGGTTCACAGCAGGGCCTCACCATGAAGACAGGACATGGCTGATAGCATGTTCTCTATGGGTTGGCCATGATGGTCTAAAAAGGATACGAGCATGGTGTAGACATGTAGGAGGGTCTGTGTGGGCATGAGCCCTGTGGAGCTAGTCACACAAGCCCCTGGGTCAAGTCGTCCAGAGCCAGCTCAGTGCAAACAAAAGCCGTGTCACACCAGAAGATGCGATGGCACTGCTGCACACACTGCCAAGGACGCCAAGGGCATGCTGGAAGGAGGTCAGGGAGGCTGTTGAGTGCCGGCAACACCTGGCTGGATGAATGACAACTTCTGTAGACAAAGTCCTGAAGTGGCAGCGATCTGACCCAAGCTAAACATGCTTGGGAAGGCTTTGGAAGCAGGAGCCCTCCGCTCAGAGCTGCACCCAGCTTTCCGGTGACTTGTCACAGCCTGGCCTCATGTCTTGGGCTATCCTTCAGGGGCCAGGAGATGCTGGCACACTCAGCGGAAGCCCAGTTACAGCCAGAGACGTCTTGTGAGCCCTGGAGCCACTTCCCTCACAAAGAAGACTCAGTCCCCTCCAGCTCTACAGCAGCCCAAGTCTCAACCATCCCCCTGACTCCGTACTTATATTTTAAATATGAAAATGTGTTTTTGTTGAGACCCTTCTTCCACAGCCTGAAGTCATCCCTTCAGAAAACTTCTTTTTATAAGACAAACAAACAAGCAAACGGAGCAACATAAATATGTCCACTTCATGAGAAACAAATGTGAGGGTCTTCCAAGTCTCCCAAGCGCCATCTAAAGTGCATCACGCTGCCACACAGGTTACGTTTGCTCTTCCTGCTTGTGGCCCAGGGGGTGTCCTCTCTCCTGCTCTTTGGTGTCTAAGGCGTCGCTAAGTCCCAGGGAGGGAATGTCTTCCTCGTATGGCATGCACAAGTTGCCTTTCTCTTCGCTTTCACAGTAAACACATTCCTTAGAAAAAAGGGGACCTCAGTGAGACACCTGACCCAGTATTGTGCAGTATGTGTAAAGACTGAGGCGTGACAACTGCAAGGACAAGGCCAGCCTGGGCAACTCAGGAGACTCTGTCTTAAAATGAAAAAGTATTTCTTTGCGTCTTTTGCAGTACTGGGGATTGACTTTGGCCCTGTGCCCTGAGCTATTGGCTAACTCTTTTCAACACTTTAAAGAAAAAAAAATTATGGTGCTGAGGATCAATCCTAGGGCCCTGCAAATGCAAAGCAAGAGCTCTGCCACTGAGTCACCCCCCCCAGTCTCCCCCTAATTTTTTTTTTTTTTTCTGAGAGACTTACTATCTATTTCAGCCTGGTTCTGAATTCATGGCAATCCTCCTGCCTCAGCTTCCTGAGTGCTGGGATTACAGGTGTGTACCATGCCTGGCTTCAAAATGAAATTTTAAAAAGAAGCTCAACAATCCCTGGTTCTTTTTTTTTGTTTGTTTTGTTTTGATCCCTAGTTTTAAGTCCCAGTGCTAGGGGAAAAAAATCAAGGTGCCTGTGGCTGGTGTCAGTTGTCATAGCTGTGAGGTTGCTCACAACAGAGGCAAAGCCAGAGCAAGGGAGTTGGATTCTGGTCAGGAGAGAGATGCCGAGCTAACTGGAAGTGCTCACAGCCCCCTGCAGACAAAATGCTGCATCAAGTGGAACGAGGTGTGCCAGTGTGTGCAATTAGACCAGGCTTTTGGGAAAGGGCACCCAGGAGGCTGCAGGGGACCTACCGCTGACCCATCTGTCCTTCCCCTCCTCCAGGAAGTGAGCAGATACTGGAGACCACTGTGAGGTGGCTCTGAGCAGGAGTTACTGTTAACCAACCAGCTTTCCATGTTTACTGGTGAGCCTATCCCAGCCTCGGTTCCTTGTCTGGAGGTGGACGCCAGACTCAGTACCCGGCTCAGGCCTGCAGTGGCCTGTGAAACTGGGACACCTCAAAAGACCAGATCAGGCTGCAGCTGTGGATGCCTGGCTCCACCCTCAGCTAGGTAGACTGAGCTGCGGGTCTCTTCATCCTGTGGCGAAGGCCTCCTGGAGATGGCAGCCCTCCTCAATTAGCATCAGGTATTGCTTGGAGATGCCCTTGAAGGGACTCCCAAGTCCCGCCCAGATTCTTGCATCTTTTTCAGTATCCCCCTCCTTTGCTTTAAAATCTAATAATTGTGGCTGCCCAGAGAAGTTCCTGGTCTTAACCCAGAGAACTATGAATTCTATGAGGGGGTTTGGATCCACCCAGAGTCCTGCAATCATTTTATTTGTCTCATTTATTTAAGCTGTCCCCATCCACTGGCTTAGGAAGTTATAGGCCTGATCAATCCACAAGGTCAATATTAACTCTATAGGTGGACTCAGGAAGCCTGTGACTTCTGAGCAGGGAATAAGGCACCTTGGGCCCCTCACTGCTGCTGACATGTCACAAGGACGCCCGCAGCAAGGTGCTGAGGCTTCCGGCTCACAGCCAGGACCCCAAGAGCCTTCTGTGTCACACGAGAACCTGAGCTGGGCCCGCCCACTGAGCAGCTCCCCAACCCCTTACTTCTGGTCTCTGTGCCGCATGAGCAGCGGGTGAAGCTGCCAGATCCTGGGGTTATGTACTGTGCCACAAGTGAGAACGGCTGAAGGAAGCCAGAGCAAGGAAAGTGGATTCCCAGCAGAGGATGGGCAGTGTGAGGGTCCCAGGAGCTAGAGCACAGGAGAGCAGGGGTGGAGGGGCAGAGAACAGGGAAGAGGCAGCAGATGTGGGGTCGTCTGTGTGACTGCGCTGCCTGCTCTGACTGCGTGGGATTTGGGCCGAGAGGCGCTGTGATTTCCCTGGGGTGGGGCCGTGGGGGGGGCACAGGCAGCCGTGAGTGGCCGGGAGGCCTCTGGTGTGGAGGTGCAGTGCCTTCTTGTGGGCTGGGCTGCTGGGGTAGCTGGTCCTGGTGTCCCAGGGCCGAATGCTCTGCTCTGTCATGAGAGGAGAATGCAGGCGGCTATGCAGCCAGAGCAAGTGGAAGAAGGGGGCCCTGTGCGAAGCAGGGAGGGAGGGGGCAGCGCTTTCTCTGGGGATCATCAGGAGCCGGGTTTTGGATATGTGCAGTCCCACAGGGAGCTGGGCATGCTCATGAACACCTGTGATCCCAGCACTCTGCAAGGCTGACAAAGGAGGATCAAAACCTGAGTCCAGCCTGGGCAAATTATCAAGACCCTATCTCAACATAAAGAATTAAAAAGGGCAGAGATGTAGCTCAGACAAAAGCCCTGGGTTCAATCCCTAATCACCCCCACCCCCTCCCCCCCCAAAAAAAAACACTTCCCAGGGGACAGGCCTGGAAGTCCAGAATGTGTGCATACACTCCAAGTCCCAGCCCATCAGGGAGTCTGGACAGAGAGGAGGTGCAAATGCCAGGCCCAGGCCGAGGAGACCCAGAGGCCGGGGAGATACCAGTTGTCCAGGACGAGAGTGGCTGTCACTGGCTGCAATGGCCTGCACTGACTGGAGCAATGTCATCATGCTCAGGAGCTAGGGACCTGCAACTGTGACAACCACAGTTGTGGTGGGGTGAAGTTGCCTGGCATCAGGAGAGTGATGGGCCAGGGGCACTTGTGGGTTTGAACTCTCAGGAGAAGGGCAGCGAAGAGCCAGCACTGAATTTTTTACTGATAGGAAAGGGGTTTGGACTTATTGAAGAGAGAAGAGAAGTACAGAAAGGGCCAAACCTCACACTTCAGCAGGCACCTGCAGCCACCCCATCCAAGGCTGGAAGAGCGTGCGCTTGCAGGGCCTTTTTCTTTTCTAAAATAAATACTAAAATGTTTCAATTTCCAGGGCTGTTGCAGAGGCACGCAGTACAGGACAGTGCAGACAGCACAGAAACGAGAATCCCCTTGGAGTGGGCGGTGGCGCCACTGGAGGGTGGGGCGGAGCTCACCGTCACGTCGATGGCTGAAGGCAGGCCGCCCATCTGCATCCACGGGTGCACCTCAAGCAGCTCACGCCTCTGCTCCTCCGAGAAGCGGGGCTGGTTCTTCTGCAGCAGCTGCAGCTTCTCTCTGTCCTCCCTCAGGACCAACTCCACATCCCTTCCCAGAGAGGAGGACGGTGAGTGTATGATTCTTCTCCTACCCACGGGTGCCACCCTGACCACCCATGTCTGGCCCCAGCCTAGAGACAGACTGACTCTCCCCCAACTGACAGAGTCCTGGCCCCCTGCTTTCCTGCTGTGCAGCTCCTGCTGTGGGCGAGCACAGGGTCCTCACAGGGGCAAGGGAGACAGGGTCTTCAGCTCTGAGGCAGCCAGAGAGACAAGACGCCTCCTTGTGCAGCAGAGCACAAAGCTGTCATGGTGCCAGGCTTGGGACCAGGTGTCTGTAAGACGTGGCTCCCCGGGTACCTGCCCCTTCCAAGGGTGACCTCCTGCTCTGGGGCTCCTCAGCCCTGCCCTTCCCGGGCCCCAGGGAGGCCTGAACAGTTACCGGGAAGGCAGCTGGTATGTCATCATGACGCTGTCGTCGGCGTCTGCCATCAGCAGCCAGATGGGGTCCTGCAGGACGTACTTGATGAGCTGCCTGCCCTCCGTGTCTGCCTTCACCTGTGCTCTGTGGTTATTCTCTGAGGAGTCGATGCTTCCAAAGTATTTGCTGCTGTGACTTGTGTCACTGCTGCCTGTGGAACCACGAATGAGGCAAGTGAAGCCTGTGTCACAGGAGAGCAGCCCGGCAGGGGGTGCTTATGTGGTCACAGTGTGCAGGCTGGGGTCACTTCCAGTGCCTTAAGGACCTAGATGATTAGAACTTGGAGATCCGCTGCCCTGGGGTGGGGATCCTCGCCTGGGGCCCAGAGTGAGGGTGTGGGGCTCTTGAGCCCGGCCCTTTGCGTCTCAAGCTGCAGCCCTTGTATCAAAGCCGGTGAAGAAGCATTGTGACCTAGGTGGAGGAGCAGCCTGCAGTGCCCCTTGAACCTGGCACAGGCCTGGAGCCCAGGGAACAGGGAGCTGAGATCTGAGTATGGCGTGTGTGTCATCAGTGAGGTGACGGCCACTAAAGGCCTGCCAGTGGGTGTACATCTGCACAGACAAGGCTAACTTGGGGATGAACTGCTGCCAAGAGCCCAGGGCGAGGGCTGCCAGGGCTGAGACCTGCAGCGACGCTGGAACCAGAAGTGAACAGGCTGGCTGTGGATCTCTGATGGCCAGGCCCTGAATGTACCCAGGACACGGGCAGGACACGTGTCTACACGTGTGTCCACTGTGCTCCACTGGGGTCACTGGGGAGCGCAGGTGAGGTGGCCCTGAGCAGATGCTGGCCTATGATTCTGGTGCCAACCCATGACCTTGTCCCCGTACCTGGCCCGCTTTGGGACACTTCGCAGCCCAGGGAGCTGGAGCCCAGGGAGTCCGAGGTGGCAGAGGCCCCACTTCCTGATAAGGCTGACCCTGTGGCCGAGCAGAGGTCCTCATTGAGCAGGAGGTTGAGCAGGTCGCTGGATGTGGAGAAGGCGTCGCTGTTCTGAGTGTCTGAGGGTTCGTCTTGCTGGGGGGAGCACAGGGAGAAGACAGCAGAGTTTGTGGGGACAAAGTCCCAAGAGGATGCACACTGGGAGGCTGAGGGTGCCAGGGCCTGGGGAAGTAGGTGAGGGTTTCACTGAAGCCATCTGCAAGAAGAAGCTGAGGACAGTGCCCCCAAGTGGTGGGCTTTGGCTCTGGTGAAGAACCTAGGGGTCCAGGCTTTCTTGACCAGCAGACATGGAGCAGGGGAAGGTTGGCCACACCTGGGGTATGCCTCATGGTGTCCCAGGCCCCTGAGCCCAAAATTTGGTGGCAACTCTGGCCCTGGGGTCCTGGAGGGCTGTCCAAGACCTCAGAAACAGGACCTCAGAGGGTGGGAGACGCCTACAGACCCAGTGTGTGACTGTGCAGCTGATGTGGCTGCACACCAAGCTCCTGGGAAACACTAGCGCAGCAGAGTGCCACACGGGTGCTCAAGGCTTGGGGCACAGACCCAGGGGCCACACTGCCCTTCCCTTCCCTTCCTCCCCTGGAGCCAGGCTGTCTGCCACCTCGTTCCACGAAGGCTGAAGCTGGTACTTGGCCCAAATGTGTTTTCCTGGAGGACTCACTGGAACATCCCAGGCCCATAAACCTCCAGCTGTGTGCTGCTGTCATTTCACAGGGGAGTGCTGCTGTCTGCACTGCCCTGACCAGGCAAGCTGCTGCCCTCTGCTCTGATCCCAAGGTGAGCTGCTGACTCCCATAGGGTCATGCAGCTGGGCTCACTGAGGTCCAGCACCGTACGGCTGGGAGGAACCTCAGCCCACCAGATACCCACACCCGTACTGGCCTTGGAGCCCCAGGATCCTTACTGTTGGTGGCGCCTTGGGCTGCTGGTCCCGAGCAGGTGCGCAGTCTGGGCCAGCTGACACTGTCCCTATGGCCCCTGTGCTGCCCTCAGGTGCCTCCTCCAGCTGTAGCAGGTTGAGCTGCAGGGGTGAGCTGCCCCGAGACTGGAAGAGTGGAGGGGAAGTCCTGCCCGTAGCCACCGTGGCTGATGGTGGGGTGGCGGGGGTGGCTGGGCAGGAGCATGGCTGCTGGGGTAGCGAGGTCCTACTGGGGAACTCAGGCTGGGAGGTAGGCGTCATTTCACAGGGGAGTGTGGGGTGGTCCGGAAAGAAGGCCTGAGGCAGGCTTGTGGGGGCTGGGAATGGGTAGCTGGGGAGCATGAAGGCCATGACGGGGGCCACGGGGGTGGGGAAAGGCAGGGGCTGCACTGCAAACTCATGCTGGGTGCCCATGGCCATAGTGGGCACTGCAAAACCGGCATGGGGTGCTGCTGGCGGTGGTGCCATGGTGCCTGGCACTGGCACTATTCCTGGTGCTGGGAACACAGGCAGGGGGTAAGAAGGCACCGGGGCAGGGAAGGGCACTGCAGGGCAGCTGGACTGAGATGTGTCTGATGGCGACCAGGCCGTGGCATTCAGGCCCATGAGTGGGGGCCGGTGGGGCGGGGGCCCCCCAGATCCCGTGCTCTCAGAGGAGTCCCGAGGCTTGGCCCGCTTAGACTTTAGTTTTCTGTTCTTGCCAGTTTTTTTCCAAGAGTCTATTCCAGAAGCATTTCTTAGTCCAGGAGCCGCTGAAATGTGGGAAAAACAACAGTTCAAATTAAAAATTCATGTTCACATCACCTCTGAGCCTCCAGGGACTGTGGGGACCAAGGACCCCTCTGCAGTACTGTGGGGACCAAGGACCACTCTGCTGTGCAGGGCAGCACTCTTCCCCCCCACCCCCCTGCCCGGCATTACCATGCCTCTCCTTCAAGACAAGCAGTATTCAAAGGGCCCTATTGGTCCAACACAGAAATAAAGACAATTGAAAAGCTGGCAAGTCTCTTGTTTCCCAAGACCTAGACCAGAATTTTGGTTTGTGAAACCTAGAAAATGGGCCACAAGCCTCATCTAACTTCCTCATCTTTCCGTTTGACAGCTGCTGTTCTTAAAAAGAGGTTTTCAGCTTCACTATCAAAGCCTGAGCAGAGCCAAAGCTCAGAGGATGACTCCAGCGTGGACACTGCGGTCCCCAAGGCACACGTGCTGGAGGCGTGGTCCCCAGTTCTGGGGTCTCTGGAGGATGTGAGGTCGCTGAGGGCGTGGCCTGGGTCTGGGACCTCTTGCCTTCCTTCGCTTGGAGTCTGGGCTGCCCTGAGGTGAGCTGCTTTTCCACTACACATCCCACCAGGAGGTCCTGCCTTGCCCCAGGCCCAAAACAACAGAATCAATTGTCAAAAACCATGAGCCACAAGGGCCCTCTCCTCCTGGTCAGCTGGGTCTCAGGTATTTTTATCACAGTGATGGAAAGCCGAGTGACAGTCACATTCGCCCCAGAACCTCATTCGTGCTTTCTGATGGCAGGTGCTGCTGAGACAAGGCCTTTTCCAGGAGGACAGGGGGCTGAACCTTGATGGAAGGGCTCTGGGTGTGTGCTCGGGGCCCAGGGGGCCCCAGGAACCTGCTTCCCTCCCTCCAGGCAGAGGAGCTGGAGCCTTCAGCAGAAGGTGTGGGCTGTCTCCTGTCCGTAGGGCCAGGGGGTTCTGCAGCTTGGTCATGCTGATGGCAAGCAGGCAGCCCAGCTGTTGCGATTCAGATCTGAAGTGGCTCCCGCACTCGTGTGTGAGGAAGGTGCTGGCTTGTGGGGCGCTGCGCTCACCAGCAGAGTCACACCCTGAGCTCTGCAGCTGAGTGTGCTGTTGGAAGGAGGGCCTTGCGTGGAGGTGGCCGCTGGGACGCAGACATGACCCAGGTGCCTGTGTTCCTGTCCCCAACGCCTCCTGGCTCCCTGCCCCCAGATGTCACAGTGAGCAGCCTTTCCTCGTTCCAGGCCCCACTGCCACCTTGGCCAGCCGTGAGCCTGATAAGCCTCTCCATGAGCTGTGCTGCTGAGTACTCTGCCCCAGTGATGGCACAGAAAAGCTAGCTGCTATGGAGCCGAGTTGGGAGAATCAGTTCTACTTGGCAGTTTTCCTACTGGAAACCTGCCCCCTGGAAGGAGCTGTGGCTATAGCTCTGGGCCTCTCAGTGCCTAGGTCTGGGCAGACTGCCGTGAGCAGCTGTGCAGCCAGGGCACGAGCACTCCTGTAGGGGTGCAGCTCTGCCCCGGCTGGCGCCTTGCCTATGGGGTGCAGCAAGTGGCTGGGACAAGGCTCTTGGATCAGAAAGAGGGTGAAGAGGCTAGGCTGTTTCAGTTCACTCCTTGACTCCAAGCACCCACGGGCTTCTGGCCTGAAGGGTACCTTCACGTACCACGGGGCCTCAGGAGTCTGCAGCACAGGCCTGGGGCCAGCCTGGCGGGAGAGGGATGGCCATGCTCCTTGTCCTTGGGGCCAGGTTGGTGAGGGAGTGGGTGGCCATGCTCTGCGTCCCCTGGGGTCTTCTGCCTGCTGCTCAATAGAACACGCTCACGCCTCTAGGGCTGGGGGTGCTGCTTCTCCAGGGTCCTGTCTGGAGGCCAGGTACAGGTCTCCACCCTCAGGAAGTTCCCCAGCAATGGCTCTGAGCAGCATTCTGCAGGGCTGGCCTGGGACTACGTCCTTTTGGCAGTGCCATTCTCTTGGGGACAAGAGGCTCCATCCTTGAAACATTCCCAGGCTGCAAAGCCCTACAGAATCAGCCTGTGTCACCATGGGCTGTGTGACACACAGACGCATCTGGGCTAGGGACACATTAGGTCCTGAGACTAGCTGGTCTCCATAACAGAAAACAAAGTGCTTTGGAACCCCGAGTTAGTTGGTGTCACTCCTCACCGCGCTCGCTCAACTGCCCCCTGGACCTCTCCTGCAGGTAGTACTGGCAGTGGGCCTGCAGGACGCCCAGCCGCCGCACCTCCCGGAACTTCTGCAGGAAGCTCTGCTCCTCCTTCTGTGTGTGCGAGGCCAGAATCTCTTTGGTGAGGCCCAGTTTCTGCAGGGGCCCCTTCTCCTGGCCAAGGCCTCCTGGCAGGCAGTCCAGGGACTCAGGCCCACTGGCGGCATCCTCCACTGTCTCTGTGAGGAGAGAGGGCCAGCGCATAGTCACCCACACCATGCGCATGTCAGCATGGCTGCTGTTCTTGCAGAGGGACCCTGATGCCTGGGCACGCGGGGGACTGGACCTTCCTGTGGCTTCCTGGGGAAACACATAGTAAGAGGCCAAGAGCAGTGACAGCAAGGCTCGGTCCCCACACTCGGGACTCAGAACCTTGTCAGCAAATGGCCTCAGCACCCAGAGCAAACAGCAGATCCGGGCCATGTTCGTCTGGGCTTGGGACCAGGCATGGTGGCAGCTGCAACTATATGGCCCATGGGGTGGACCCAGCAGGGCAGATGGGCCACTGACTGTCCTAAAGAGGAGGCTCGGGGATAGACCTTCTGACAGGCACTGTGCTCCTGCTGTTCCTTGCCCAGTGAGGCCCACATTCAAGGCACATTTTCCTTAGTTTTCTGAAGATCAGGAGACTCAGGCGAGAATACCTTGGGCCCAGAAATCTCAGCAAGACCCACACCAGCCTGGCTCTTCACAGGAGGCAAGGCTGGGCAGAAGGCAGGCCCTGGGCCCACCCAAGGGTGCCAGGAGAGGGACTGCCAAGAGGCAGGCCCTGTGCGGGGCCCACCTGGCAGTATCTCACCCTGCATTTTAGAGAATGAGATTTCCCAGAACTTCCTCCTGGGTTACAGGGGAGCTCCTCTGGGAAGCTTAGCCAGATCTGAAAGTCTAAGGTGGCAGCAGAGCTCTCACTGCTGTCTGTGAGATCTGTTCTCCCCCGACGCCCTCTAGAAGCCTGACACGTACCTAGCTCTGGCTGTGGCTTTTTGTCCCCGACGTGGACGATCGTGCTGCTGTAACTGCACTGGCTGGTGAGGGACACCACACTCTCAGCCTTGCCGGGCAGCGCCAGGGAGCTCAGGCGGGCGCTCACTTCTGCGTGGCTGCTCACCTTGGAGGGCGATGCGGCCTCTTTATGGGAGAGAAGAGGAGCAGACATGGACATTCAGGACAGACTGCAGCTCCCCAGTGAGCCACTGCTGCCCTGTGGGCCCCACCCCAGACAACTGGGCCTGGCCTGTGCCCAAGAGAAAGGTGGTACAGAGAGGGGAATTCTGAAGTGGGAACAACTTCTCACTCAGAGCCCAAGTCCCCTGGGAGGGGCACAGCAGTTGGGCGGCTGGGCGCTGTCTAGACCCACAGCCCCTGTGGCCTGCTGCAGGGACATCTCCCACAAGCAGTGTGGCAACAGCAGCCAGCAGTTTGCTTCTCTGTGTGTGAAAGCCCCACCGGCACGTATTGCTCGATGTGATCGTGGAGGACCCCGGCAACACAGCCCAGGGTGCTCACTTGATTTTGGGGCACACAGGAGAGGGCTGCCCTTGGGAGACAAGGCAGGACCAGTGTCCCCATGCCTCCCGCAACTTGAACAGACTCCTGCTCCAACACGCAGTGTCCCGAGACCAGAGTCATCCTGATGTCCAGCTGGCTGCTGGCTTCTCAGCTGCTGTGATCTTTTTAAAAGTAGCGACAGCCTTATGCTCTACTGTGAACTGGTCCAATTATCAGCACGGGAGGGAAGGCATTGGTTTCACATTGGTGTGATCCCTGGGGTGGCAGTGAGCTCACTGGACAGCTCAGAGCGGATGGTACCTCCGGCGTGCAGCCCAGGGCTGACCGTGGCCTTTCGGGATGGGATGTGTGCAGAGAACTCGCACTTCCTCTTCAGTGTGGCAGCCTCGCTGCAGCTCTCCAAGTACCTGTGTGGACCATGGGGTTTTCAGCGGGCAGGCGGTGTGGACAGCACCCCCTGGTGGGGAAGGTGGGAAGTGGCTGGTACCTGATGACACCATCCAGGCAGCTGATCTGCTGGTAGGAGCAGGAGGGCTGGTCCTTGCAAGACAGCTCCTCCGGGAAACTGGCCTTGGGCAGGCCGGCCCCTGAGCTGTCCTTCTCTGCAACAGGCACGGCTTTCACCTGAGCCAGGGTGCTACTTTGCATTTCTGGAAAAATAAAGAGACACACGGGTTCTTTCATCGACTATTCTTGGGCCAGGGAGATGGCTCAGTGGAATAAGCCCTTCCCCGGTGGGCTCTTTCATTGACTATTCTTGCTTCCAGAGGCACACTGTGCTCATGAAGCATTTACTTCTACCCAGTGGCAAGGCCTGGACGAAATGTGTGCGCCCAGGGTGCAAATGGCCCACACAGCAGCTGGCGCCAGAATGCAAGGGTGCCCTGCAGAGGGAGCTCAGGAGAGGGAGCCCAGGCAGACCTGCTTCTCTGGAGTTCAGGGCTTAGGAGGGAAAGACCAGGCCTTGGAGGAACTCTAAACTTAGGAGGCCCCACGGGGCTTGCATTACATTTTCAAACAGAACCCTCACAGGAAGGCTTAGACCATGACAGCCACTTGGGCTCCATGCTGCAGCTTCCGGGCTGTGCCCACCATGGACACCATGTGCCTGCTGCCCCAGAGCCTGTAGGCAGAGAGCCATGTCCCCAAGGCCCGTACCACATTTTCCAGTGCAGGCAGGCTGTTTTGGAGAACTGCAGACTGCAGAACCCACTCCACAGAGATACTGTGCACACACGCATGCCAGCATACATGCTGGAGCTGAGTGTGAGGCTGCTCACACTGGCGAGCTGAGGGCACACCAAGCACACTCGGCAGCAGGGCTGGGCCCAGACATGCTCTGCACAGGTCCACAGCTGCCTGCCCAAGGGACACCAGTCCCTGCCCCCCGTCCTCTGCTGGGCCAGGAGGGTGTGGATGGCACACCTGAGAGTAAGCCTGACTGCCCTTTAGCGTGCTCTGACCCACCAATGCTTTTCGCCACCAAACTAACATACTGTGAAGGAAACTGAGGTTTTTCTTTACCTGTTATAGATTTTTTCTTTTGTTTTCCAGATTCATGGGAAAACTGACTTTTGATTTTGTTCTTGTTACTATTTTTACAAATCTCCTTGAAGAAAAACAAAACAAACATGTTATTCATTCCAGGAGGCCTCTTCCCATCTGCCCCCAGTGATTCGTTCCAGGAGACCTCTTCCCATCTGTCCCCAGTGGGCACGGGGCACAGCTGGAAGCCTCCCAGTGACACAGAGAAGGCTCAGCAGATTTGAGCGACAAATCAGAGATGCTGGGCTAGGTAGAACCTAGGCCAGGGCCCTGAAGATTAGCAGGACACAGAGCAAAATGGCACAGGCTTTCTATCTACGTACACTTAAATCTCCACTGGTGCTTGTGTTGTCTGCCCTACAAACATTTTCAACCACATGCAAAACCTTGGCTTTGAGCTGCTAAAACTTCAAAGTGATTATGACACAGCCCTCAAGGAAACATCCTGGCTGTCGGGAGGCAAGGACAGAAAGGGACGTACGGCTCTCCGGTGCTGGCCATCCTCGTGGCCGTTGCTGTCACTGGACGAGGTCTGGCTCATGAGGTGCTCATGGGAGCCATTGCTGCCCAGGCTCCCGTAGCCACTGGAGCCACTGTGGGGCACGGGCTGCAAGAGAACAGACAGAGCGTGTGGGCACTGTGGCGCCCTGCTCCTCCCTCGATGGGGTTGCAGAGAGGACAGCATTGTTGGCGTCTCACAGGGAGACCCTCTGGCCTCTCTTCCAGAGTCAGGGTCCCAGGCAGACTCCTGGCCTCTCTACCAGAGGCACCCAGGGGAGGAGAGGCCCTGAACGGGGATTGGCTTAACCTACCCACCAGCACACATCTGTGGCCAGCCAGTTCTACTGGATTTCAAAACCAAAACTCAACCCAGGTATTGTTAGGCTCTGTAGTCTCCAACAGAGCCAAGGCATGCTCAGGGGTGGAGCTGCCAGTACCGCACTGCTCTTTCTGATACTAATGCTCTGCATGCCCTAGTGCCAGTGCCAGGACTTTTAGTTAAGCTTTACCTCCCCCAGGAGGGGTTGTATGGGTTGTATATGGCCCAAGGAGCCAGGATGAAGCTGGTCTGGGTCTGGGGTCCTCCTCCCTCCGGCTGCTGGCTCCTACACAGATGCTTGGTTGCAAGGCTGAGAAATGCTGAGGGATATGTGAGGATCTCGGCAGCGGAGACTGCCCAAACCGGGCTTCGGGGACGCCCAGGAAAGACGGTGGAGTCATTTGAGTGGGGGGCCCACAACCAGTGGCAGTGAGGCGGGCAGGGTGCAGGTACCCACCCACCTGCAGCAGCAGCCGGTGGATCTGCTCTGTGAGCTCCTGGACGCTGGGGTGCAGGGCCTTCTCCTCCACACATGGGGGCGCCGCAAACACGTCCTCATTCAAAGGGCCCCTGCATGGTTTCAACCTCGGAGTATAACACACCACCTCACCTGCCCCGAGCCCCACCTCCTCCCACCCAGCCCAGGTAACCGTGTCCCCTCCACTCCCTCTCAGGTGGGTGGCCAGGATTTGGAGGGGAGTGCGGGGGATACTCACACCCTGACTTTGTGCCTCCCGATGATGAAGGAGATCTTGCGGCTCCAGGGGTTGATGAAGCTGGACCAGCTGGTGTCCAGCGTGATGTACTCCCCGTTCCGGGCGCGGAACCGGATGGGAGAGTAGTCGAAAGGCTGCCCGCTGGACTGCAGGACTGCGGTGAGAACAGGGTCAGGGTCAGTGTCAGGCCAGGTCCAGTCACAGGCAGCCTAAGGTGTGATGTCCTTGTCGGCCCTCTTTGGCTCTCCATAGCGACGAGGGTGGTTTCCTGGGTCACGTGCCTGACAGCTGGGCGAGGTGTGAATGCATCATCCCCTCCCCTGGCTGGTCAGTGCCTTCCGAGCTACTGCTGAGTGGTGACCCCTCCTGTCACTGGAGCCAGGAGTGAAGGTGACACACTTGAGACCTTGGGACACCTGGGGCCCCACATTAGTGCTCCTCTCAACTGTCTGCAGCTGAGGTGCTGGGACTCGTGGGGAGCAGGGCACCCCTGCTTGTGTCCTCAGCCATCTGACTGCCCTGAGCCTGCATGGCCACAGGAAGGGCCCCGGAAGCGCAGGAATATGACCTACTCTTTTTGTGGATGGCAAGCATCAGGGGCCTGTCGCTGGGGTGCAGCTGTACGAGCACAGGCGTCTCAATGAGGTCCTGAGGTAAGTAGCCCAGGAGGGGGACCGCTCTGCAAAGCAAGGGACACATGCTGAGCCGGGCACAGGCTGGAGAATGACCAGACAGATAGCCCGGCAGCCCCCTCCAGCAACTGACAGACTCATGGGTCAGACTCCAGACCCGCCCAGGTCAGGGTCTGGGCGCTGAGGAAGATCAACCCAGTCATGTGAATTCCAAAGCCACGTGAGGCTGGGCCCCGCACGCCGCACTCCTCCTCTGGCCTGTGAGCTGCAGCTGTGTCTCATCTCCTGCAGGAATGAGTGTAGATCTCTCTTCTCTCATGGCACCATCAGGCTGGCCACACGGGGCCTGCAATCTAAGACCGCCTGGAAAGCCTTCTGTTTGGGTCCAACTCAGGAGGTATCCTTCTGTCGCCTGGCTGGTCTGTCTAGCTGTGGCTCCCACAGGTGGTGGCCAGGCCCTTGCTTGGTGGCTCAGGAATCCACCAGCACCCATACTGCCCCTGCCTGTGTCCCTCGGGCGGGCATGTCACCATGGAATAGGCTGGCCACAGGGCCCAGCACCCCAGGCCTCCCACAGATGGCTGCTTCCTCTCTTCCTGTGCCTTGGATTTGCTAAGTCTTCCTGCTCCATGTGGTGCAGCACTCGCTGTGTGCCTGGTGTTTTCCCGACTCCCTCCTTCTCTCACTCCTGTGCATTCCTCGGGCAGGGAGGACACAGTGTCCCTGGCACCCTCCCAGGTCACAGTCCAATTAGAGGAGCAGGAAGGAAGGTGGTGGGGGGAGGAGACAGGGAGGGGAGAGGAGGCGCCTCAATGAGGGGGGAGACAGTAGGTCGGGGGAGCAGACTCCGAATGGGTAAGACTCCTGGGACACCTGGCCAGCGCAGCTCCCAGCTCTGCCTTGGGCTGGTGCTCCAACAGGGAGGGCCAGGGCTACTCGCCTGCAGCAGCTTTGGAGTTTATGTTTTTGTGAGTCTGAGGAGGAGCTGGAAAGGCTCTCAAGGCGCCAGAACTGCATGCAGGCTGGAAGACCCCTCAAGATCCTGCCAGGCCACCCACACTTCCATCCTGATACATGGCACTGGTGCATCACCCTTCTGTCCTGGACCATGAGGACAGGCTTTCCAGAAACCCCCCGTGACACCATGTCTCACTGAGTTGCTGTGTGTGTGTGCTTGCGTGTATGTGTACCAGAGGCTGCACCCAGGACTTTATCCTAGGGCTACATCTCTAGCCGATTTTAAGTTCTGAGACAAGGTCTCAGTCAGCCACCCAGGCTGGGCCTGAGCTAGAGGTCCTCCTGCCTCGGGCTCCCAGAACAGGACTGCAGTGATGCTCAGCCTCACTTGACTCTAACACCCCAAGTGAAAAGAGCAGGCTCTAAGGTCGCAGTAGCGGGAACACCTAGAGCAGGGGCGCGTCTGCTCGCCGTCCTTAGCGAGTACTGTGCGGCGCGTGGGACTGCACGTCACGTTTTCATGGGGCACTTCCTGTGTCACAGCCTCAAAGCCGCTGTGTCATTGCTTGGTGACAGGAATTTTTGCTCTATCACGAAAGAACTGAGATGTGTTATGTCCACGCACAACTCCCAGTGACACACTGATGATGAGTGTCATCATGTGCTGCGAATGTGTGTACTAATAAAAGAATTTAAAGAACTCATCTGGGGGACGTCATCCTACGCACAGCGCAGGACATGCACAGTGGGCGTTTCTGCCTGTCTCGTAAGTACAATCCACGCGCTGGCCTGCGCAGGCTGCCCGGCTGTAATTCCACACAGCTCACTGAGATCTGCTCTGTTGCTACTAGGCAACTACTGAGGGCATCCAAGACTCAGAGTACCTCGAGCAAACACAGAACCCAAAAGGGTGGGCAGGCCACGGGTGTCTGCTGCCACTCACCTCTCGTCTACATCCTGGAACAAACAATTCGGCGTGTGTGTAGTTGTAAAAATTCTCTTCTCAGGAGGAATCCTTGGGGCTGAAAAAACAGAATTTTGCACAAATTTTGGATTCTCAGAAGTGGTTACATTTCACATGCTAGAAAACACCACACGGTTTTAGCACACTGGGCAGCCAGGGATCTGAAGCAGCGAGCCCCCTGCCTGGAGGGCAGAGCAGGCTGTGGCCGTGCCCATCACCCACCATGCCCACTCCCAGATAGTCCTGGTCAGCAGGGCCCCCATTCATGAGACCACAGGGCCTCATGGGCTTTCCCCAGCAGCACCGTGCATGTGGCCACTTTCAGTGGTTCTCATGTGAAACTGAAGTACACGTTTGGATTCAAAGCTCTCAGCAAGCCTCTGCATCGGAGAGCTTCAATTTCTATAGGGGCTCAGCAAAGGCGACGATGTAATTTGATAAAGCCAGTCATCTATTCCCAAATGTCCTCAACTGCGGAATTCCAACCTGTCTTGTTCTTGGAGATGATAATCTGAGGGAAGAATGTGTTGAAATCTAGGTGGGCCCCCTAATCCTTACTGAGCTTCCGGAAGGGAATGTTCGACGTGTAGGCTGCCCTGAGCATGGTAAAGAAAACCACATGCCTGCTTAAAACGCTTTCCTAACACTGGCAAGAGTGCACTTGGGAACGGTCATTTGCTTCTGAGGAACATAGCCAGCACCATGACCTGGACTCCTCCTGCACCTGCTCCCAGGGAGGCGGGGTCCTGAGACCGCAGAGCCACCACGGTGGCAGATCCAAGCACCGGAGTGTCATAGTGTGGTAGCATGAGGGCCTGAGGACGACACCTTGTGGCTGCCAGCCCCACAGGTCCACTGGGCTGTGAGGGAAGGACCTGGACCAAGTGGCAATGACCACGGGCAGAGGAGGGGACAGGTGGGGACATGCTGCATCCATGGGATCACCGGGATGCCAGAGGGGTTGGCGGGAAGGGAAACCCAGGGGAAGGCAGGAGGTACAGTGAAGGGAGGAACCTGCACTTTGTGTCTCAGGGGCCCGGGAGACCAAGGGGAAAATAGCACAGCAAGGCCTTGACTGCTCTCACTTTGCAGACAAAGGGAGAACAGGGGAGGGGGCACATGAGAGATGCTGACCTCGCCCTCACTGTGTGGGAACGCAAAAGGCCTGCGTTGAGCTCAGGAAGGATGGAAACCTGCACAGGGTGAGGCGAGAGGGGGACAGCCCAGCTGGGGCCAGGGGCACCGCTGTCCCCCGTGGCCCCCGTGGCAAGGGCAGGGCTTACCCTCATAGCCGGAGTGCACCTTCTCTGCCAGCAGCAGACAGCACAGCTGGCTCTCGGCCCCCGGCGGCTCCTGTACCTTGAGCAGGTAGGGCGTCATGCGGAACGGCTGGTAGCAGATCTCATCCTCATGGTTCCTCCCGACGCTGCGGGGTGAGGGGGGTGGAGCTGGAGTCCCATGCAGGGCTGACTGTGGCTGCTGCTCAGCCCTCCATTCCAGACAGCCCCTCATGGGACCCTGGGGCCATGGGAGGCAGCAGCGCCTGGGCCTACACACCTGGCCAGGGGAGGTGTCTTAGACCAAGGAAGCTGCTTCTGCTGTGGGGGCCCAAGCCCCCCCCCCCAACAGTCCCAGGGTCACCTCTGACCCTGTCTTGTACCAACAGCCTGCTGGAAAACTGTGGGACTCTGACTGGAAACACACAAAGCACAGGCCTTATGTGCGTCAGGCTGGGGCACACCTCCCTGGCCACGTTCCTGTGGGGGACGCTGCCCACAAGAAGCAGGCAACCCACCCTCCGTGAGCTCCTCTCCTAGCACTTCAGGTGCTCCTGAGACGTACCGATGAAGTGAGTTCCCACAGTCACTGCCTGCCCCACAGGGACCAGAGCAGGCACACATGCTCCCCTCCACCCTGCCACGGGCGCTGTGGGGGCAAAGCCCGCACCACACGCTCAGGGCAGCCAGACTTACCTGACCCGGCAAAAAAAAGACTTCTCTTCCATGCATTCTTGGGTGAAGGAATCTGTAAAAAACAGCCGTGCATCAGTCGTCTGTCGGAACAGCAAAGGCAGACAGGCTGCTTGGTCTCTCCGACAGATGAGAAACAGGCTGGCTAGTGGGCGGACTGCTCGCTTACCAGGTGTGAGGGAACCCCAGGTCAGAACACTTCCACTGTCTACTTCCTGTGTTAGGAAGATTCAGAAGGGTGCTCTCTCCTGAATCGTGCAGGGCCACACAGTTACCACAAGGAGTGTAAATTTAGAAACTGCCCCAAGGGCCCTGCAGAGCCCACTAATGCTTCCCTCTCTCGCCCACAAGAAATTCCCGCAGACCTCCAGCTCCCTATCTTGGGGATATCTAGTTAGAATGATAGAACAGAAACAACTCAGGGCTCACATCAGCACTTTGACAAACACTAACAAATTTAAAAATTTACATATCCAGTAACAACCTGAGAACAAAGGCTTGGGGGACCTCAGCGGGTCATGAAGGGGTGGATGCTCCCAAAAGCGTTTTAAGACATTTTGTAGGACAGAGTGTTAGGCTTTGCTCATCCACACAAAGTTCCTCTACTCAAAGGAGCAAGACAGCAGGTGAGTTCAAGGCGAAGCAGCAGATATGCAGTGGCCAGCCCAGATCAAGGCCTCTGAGAATTCACCCAGCTGCGCTTTTTGTTCAGACCACGATTTGGATGTCACCACGGTGGGGGGATGGTACCACCCTCAATGCGGTGAGCCCACAGGCACAGTGACACCCTTCACACCACACGGCCGGACACTACCCGCATCCTGACTCATGGCCAATGCCCGTGGCCTGATGGACGGGTTGCACCTGGGGAGGAGGGCACCACCCCGGATCCACAGGGTGCTCCTCCTCTTAGTGGCCCCTGGGGATGCCTGCTGGGTGCAGCTCACAGGCCAGTGGGAAAGAGGGCAGCATTCTTCCTGGCCCTTGCTGCAGGCAGAATGGCAGAGGGCAGCAGAGTGGTCCCCAGCCTGTGAGCACCCCCACCCTGGGAGGCCTTAGAGGTGAAATGGTGATGGTTCCAGGTGCCCAGGCCAGGGGTGGTGCTCTGCCAAGGTTCTGGCCACGTCGTTAGACTTGGGCAACTCTGGCCCTGTCCTTTGCTCTGCATCTCCCTTGCTGCTCAGAGCTCCGGATCCTTGGTTCAACCTTAGCTCTGATAGTCCGAGCCCAGGAGGGACAGGTAGCCATTCACTGCCGACAGACTGGTGCCAAGGTGGGGGTGCAGGCTTCCAGAGGAGCCTGCTGTAGCTGCCTGGGTCAGTGAGCACATGGAGGCACAGGAAGGGCTGAGTGGCTAGGCTCACCCGCCTCCTCTCCTGCAGGAACTGGCTGGCCTGATCCTCAGGCCTGACTCACAGGTGCCCAGGCCAAGGGTGGCACTCTGCCAAGGTTCCGGTCACATCAAGTTAGACTTGGGCAACTCTGGCCCTGTCCTTTGCTGCATTCTGACCTGCACTCTTGGGGGAGGCAGCCTGGAACCATCTCACGCCCTACCCTGCACCCGAGCTCTGTGCAGAATACCCCCTGTGAAAGTCCAGCATGGAGGGAGTCCGTGGAGCCCTGGTGGCTGAGTGACCCAAACTGGGGGACCAGCTGGCCCTGGTATCCAAGAGGTGGCACATAGCGTACAGGAGACCTCCATGGCCTAAGGGGTGACATCGGTGCTCTGAGCTTCATGTCCTTGGGGACCCTGCTGCTGTGTTGGAGTGGAGAGCATACTTTGACTTCATAGGCTCATAGGTGGACTTGGGATGCTGAGTGGGTTCTGGAACAAGTTTAGACTTAGGGCTAAAGATGGAGGGGTTGCTCTGGGCATTGAGAGGACTTGAGTTTCGGTGGAGTGGGTGGGTGGGTAGCCTGTGGGAAGGTGGCCTTGGAGAGGCAGATGAGCCATCAGAAGCGTCAGTGCCTTTCTCACAGGTGTAAGAGTGCTGCCTTGGGACCAGTGCATCCTTGAAGCCAGCTGTCAAAGTGGAGCTGGCCTCCTGTCGTCTCTTTTGCATGCACCCTCTTGCCCTTCCTGCCACAAGAGTAGTCAGACTCCAGCTGTACCCCTTGGACTTTGCAGCCTGAGAACTATGAGCCCAAATAAACCTGGATTCTTCATAAATCACTGGTCTTGCCCAGCATGGTGGTGCACACCTGGAATCCCAGCACTGCTGGCACCTGTGAGGATCAGGAGCCTCAAGGGCTCCGGGAAGCCTTCTCCCTGCCATTCAGACAGACGGCAGCTGCTCTTCTTAGCTGCTCAGGGAAACAGCTATGGGCTGCACTCTGCACCATTAGGCGAAGCTGATGCTCTGCTTCCCTTTGAATGGAAACTTTCTCTTTCCATCACTTGTCTCCTGGCACCCAGCTAAGCCCATGCAGCGCCGCCCCGGCACCCTGAATTCTCCCACAGAATCCTGGTTCCTCCCTTGAGCTCTGTCTCTCACCAGTCTAGGCAAAGACCCTGCTACTTTACCACCACTACACTTTACTCCAATTCTCGGGCCAATGCCCTTCTTTGCTACCCTCACTTCCACCGCTGCTGCTGCTCCCTGCCCTGCTCATCTCTGTCTTCTCCCAAGCAAATCCTGGAAGCCCCCAGTGCTCAGGCTGTCCCAGATGTCACTTCAGAACTCGCTGGCAGCCACCAGTTACCCAGCTCCAAAGCTGCTTCCACACAGCTAGGAATTGCTGAAGCAGCATCCACTTCTTGGTCCTGATTCTCCGAGTGCACTTGGGCCCAGCCAGTGCATGGTTCTGGAGCTGGGAGGTCCGAGGGCTCGACACCTGCCCAGCCACTGGTGAGGGTTACATGCTGGTCCCACTGAGGGTGGAAGAGATGACACAGGGGCAGCCTCGCTTTAGGGTAAACCACCCCTTGCTCCTGATCCAGTCCTGGGAGAGTGAAAACTGGACCAGTGTGGGGGGCTCCAATCCTCCTTCCAGGCCCCACTTTAATACCCCCCTGAGGGCAACTGAGTCTTGGAAGGGGACAAGTGGTATCTGAATCACAACAGATGGCACGGAGAGAGCAGGGTGGATGGCAGCAGGCAGGGCGGGCTGGAAGCAGCCATGGCCACAGCTGTCCAGGGATGGGAAGGCACTAGCTCGCTTGCTGCTGGGACCAGGACGCGAAGCCTGGACATGAGGCCCATGGGACAGAGGACACTGTTCAGGCCAAGCTGGGAGGCCACCAAGCACACAGACAGTCTGCACTGCCAGCACCTGGGAGGCTGGCACCCAGAGGACTTCACGACTTGGTCTCACACAGCTGCCCTGCCAAGGTGGTGAGCCCAAGAAGTCACTCTGGAATGTCCTAAACCTGTCCATTATTCCTCTGAGACCAAAGGCAGTGGACCCTCGTAGACACCCTGGGGTTCCAATACTCTGGGTGTCCAACTTGCCAATTCAAGAGCACACCTTTGCTTCTGAAGTGCTGGATACTTCCTGAAATCTTATCTCTGAAATTTACAAAAAGGCTGTTTTTTCTCTAATTTTTTTTTTCTCTGAAGAGATGAATAACCATCAACCATTCGCCTCCAACAGCCAGGCTGTTCTCTGGCAGAGGTGAGTGGGGAACCAGCTCCAGGTCCCCACCCAATCTGAAGCCCCCCCAACCCCCTTCTGAGTACAAGGTGTGCAGGACCCGGGGCTCACCGACTCCGCCGCACACGCTCCAGGACGGAAGCCTGCAGGGGGTGGTGGAGCTGTGGAACACGCTGACATCGTGGGGCGCCAGGAACTCCACAAACTTGGCATCACTAAAGGCGTCCTGCTTGCAGTGGAATATGGATGTCACTTGGCTAGAGATGTACATGATCTTCCCCGAAACCAGAGACACGGCTGCAGCAAACATGTCCTGGAAAGGAGCAGACAGAAGGTCAAACTGGCAGGGAAACTGGAAGGGGCAGGCCACAGGAGGTCGGGGCTCTCTGGGCCTTGTCCTCAGCTCTGACTGCACAACCCCACTTTCCCCATTCCACATATTGGGGTTCAGCATGACGGTATCTGAGGCAACGCATCAGGAGCCTGCTGTCCTGACCTCTGTGGTCTCGCAGTGGACTGTGGGGTGGCCCCTCCACTCCACTTGCCTGGCTGGTCACCCTGGCCTCTGCCAGCCCTGCTCTCTCCAGGGACCTGGGGTGCCTCTGGGCCCAGGGCCAGGTGTCCCTTGGTCACACTGGAAGCAGGACGTGGGAACGGCCAGGAGCCCCCCAGCCTCCCTGGATCTGGTCCCACTGCCTGACAGAGACTCGAGGACTCTGCAGCCTCTGATCTCAGTCTCCGCCAAGACCACAAGGTCTGGACGAGTGGAAGGCCACGAAGTATGTCTCCTCACCCAGAGAATGTGGACACATGCCAGCTGTGGACAGGACAATCCAGGCATGAGGAGGACAGTGTCACACACAGAGAAGACGTCCAAACCCCAGCCTCACCTCCCTTCCCTGGAGCAGTGCACCACTTCCCAGAACCAAGCTCCTGCCATGCAGGCGGGGCAGCTCAGGGCACCAGCACTTGCCAAGAAGAGTTCGCACAACACAGGCCCAGCCTGGGACGCTCACCGCGTTCTTCCCTATGTACTCGGAGGTGACACCATCCACCTGCTCCATGGTGTAGGACGGCACGTCCACACTGCAGGGCTGGCTCTCGCTGGACATCAGCAGCTGGTAGTACTCCTCGTTAGCTGTGGGAAAACCACACGCATGCTCGGCAGCTGAGGCCCAGGGTGGCAGCACGGTCTCCTGGGATTTAGACCCTGACGCCTTAGGTGCTCATGGGCGGGACCTTCAGACATAGGATGGGGGCTCACAGCTGCCTGGATGTTAGGAGGCGGGGCCTGGTTGGAGGAGGCGTCCCTGGGGGCAGGGCCTGGAAGGGGTCATCTCAGTCTCTGGCACCTCCCTTCACACGTTGGGTCTGAGAGACCCCTGCTGTGCCGTCCTGCCTTGGAGCCAGTTCTGTGGACTGAAACGTGAGCTGAAATAAACCTCTCCTCCTCCAAGCTGTGCGTGCTGGGTGTTGTGTCCCAGCAGCGAGGAAAGTGACTGCCATGGACCCTGTCCCTGCCTCCTGCAGGTGGGGCTCATGCCCCTCAAGTGAACAGCACACCGTCCTCCTCTACGCTAAGGGCCTCAAGCCGGGGCTTTACTACAGAGCACACATCTGGGTGCCTTCCTGAAAAATTAGGCCTGGGTTCCCAAAGTTTTTGAAATGGTAAACACTCTCCTTATGTATGGGGGCAGGCACAGAGTTCTCTCTCCAGAAGGACCTGAAATCGCTGCCAACAACAGTGTGTCCACATGGCATCCAGGGCAGCCCCTCATCTGCCCCTGGCCAATCCTATCAGACACATCCATCCAGCTGACTACTTGAAACTAAGCAGCACTCAGACCCACCATCTGAAAAAGCAACCTGCAGATGGGCTCTGAGCTCCTGTGACCTCATCAGCAGGGGTGGGGGGCACCGAGCTGCTCTCTGGGTATCACTACACACGCCTGATGGCCCCTGCTCCACTCAGGCGCACAGGAGCTGGCTCCCATCTCCACCACCCACAGGCCCTTGGAGGACAGAACCCAGCGATTTGCTCTGGAGTTTGATCTGGGACCACAGAGCAAGCAAGGGGGTGTATGCTACCCTCTCTCGGTGTGGTGCTGAGGCCTCGGGCCACGGCTGGGTCTATCAGAGTGAGACTTCTCCACCTTTAGAGACCAGTGGATTTCCAAACACATGTGAAAATCCAGACATAAACTGCAGGCAAGTGCACAGTGTCTGGATTTGGCAGAACACCTAGCTCTGAGGGTGCTGGGGACACCAAGAATTTCACACCCTGACCAAGACAGACACTTATGACCAGGGGTGCCGGCTGCTCAGGTGACTCCCTCTTGCTGTTCTTTCCAGAAAGCACAGGGTCCCTGAGCTGAGCACCCGTGGCAGGGCCTCGTGCAGGGACTGAGGCACGGACCAGTCACAGGCCTTTACTTCTCCAAATGAATCTCACAGTGGGCAGGATGAGCAGCTGCCGCTCCAATCGTGAGCACCCCCAGCACACAAGAGTGACACCTGGCTCCAGACCCAGAGGCAGGCTGCAGCGAGCTGTGGGCTGCCAGGAGGAGTGGGGGGCTTCCCGACTTCCTGATCCCCCAGGGGCCCCGCCCTTCCTGGCACCGGGCCTCCACCCAGTCAGCTGCCGGCAGAACCAGCCCAGCTTTGCCCAAGGCACTACCCCCTTCTTCTGTAGCACAGAGTGGCACCTGCGCCCTGGTGATGGGAGGCCAAGGGTCCCCTCGGAGGTGCATCTAGCAGCATCTATGCAGAACCCCGTGCTGCACCTGTGAGCACTACACCTGTCTCTGCACGGGTGTTCTCTTCTCTGGCCAATTCGAAAAGCCCTTCCTATTCTGCCCCCGTACGAAGTCATAGTCAAGAAATCCATATGCGGGAGCAGGGGCTGCTCTCTGGAGGCCCCTTGGCTGCGGGTTTGATGGCTAGCATTGCTCTGCCCTGCCTCCCTCTTTCCTGGTCAAAGTGGCCACAGGGTGGAAATTCACATGACTTCAGGCAAACAAGAAATGAGCCACCGAACCACTGAACCACTGAGTTTTCTGAATTCCAGAGCCTGAGGTCTGGCAACAGCCTGCTCCTCACTCCCTCTCACCTTGAGGTGGAGGCGGGCAGGTCCCCAGCTGAGGATCCAGGGCTTCCCCTCTGCATGTCCTGCTGCACCTGCCAGGCTGCGGATGCCGATCTCAGTGGACTCAGGCCCACGCCAACCATCCTGAGCACAACCTCACGCAGCCCAGGGCATAGCAGGCACATGGAGTAAACAGAAGGGCTACTGAAAGATTCGGTGAATATTTTATTTTATTTTTTAAAGAAACCTTAATGCAGTAAAAGATTGCATGGCCAAGAGCAGTAGGATAAGTGTGATTTTGATGGTAATATGTGCTTTTAAACAGTCACTATCTCTCTTAGGGGCCAGGGAGATGGCTCAGACTAAGCGCTTCCCTGGCAAGCACAAGGGCCTGGGTTCAATCAGTTCTGCCAAAAAAAAATTATCTCTGTCTCTCTCTTTCTCTCTCTCTCTCTAGACCACCTTTGTTAACCCACCATTCACAGCAATTCCTGTCAAGTAAAATCATCACGGTGTGTCCTCGAACCCAATATTCATATGTGTACCTTTCACTTGCTTCACGCTGCGCAGGGCGTACTTCAGGGTGGCCAGCGTGCTGGCCTTGCCCTTAGCCTTCTTGTCCGCAGGGAGGTGGACCTTCAGCTCCCGCAGCGTCTTCATCAGCTCTCTGTGAGTGTCTGCTTTGGCAGACTCCTTGCTGCTGCGAAAGTCAAGACGGAGGCGAGCAGAGGTGAACTTCCTGGATGGATTTCTGGAGAAATGGAGTTGGGGCAGCTCTTGCAGGGCCCTGAGGCATTTGTGGCCTCACTCATTGGGGCACAGCAGTCCAGTGGCCAAAAATGTCTGGGGACTGTGCTGACCTTCGTGGAGGCGGGAGAAGTCCCCACAGGGGTGCTCTCACCAGGAAGAGCTGCCTGTCACTGAGCTGTGCCAGTCTTCCCTGTCCCATGAGAAAAGTACTGAGAGTGGATTTTGTGCCAGCGGTGACAGGGAATGTCTGGGCTCATGAGGGTAACCATCACAGTCACCCAGAGAGGGAGAATGCCCCTGAGGAACGCCAGGGGCTTAGGGGGGCTTCCAGGACCTCTGAGAGCTGGAGCTGCATGAAGGAATCACAGAAGCCACAGGGACAGGGGGTGCCTGGACAGCTGTGCAGGACTGTGGGGCTGGGTGAAGCATGGGCAATGTGGCCTCAACCCCAGACCTGACTCCCTGCTGCCTTGGTCCTCCAGGGCAGACCTCACCTGCAGCCACTCCCGCTTCTAGACAGGCGGGGCTCGGCGCTGCTGTTCTCAGGCTAAAGGCACTGGGAATGTGAACAGCAGAAAGCGGAGCCTAGACAACGGGTGCCCCATGCATGCGCTGTCTCCCACTCAGCCACCAGAGCAGCCCCGGTCCTCTGAACAGTGGAAGAGGACCTGGGAAGCATGAAGTGGTGCGGGTGCAGCTCAGTGGTAAGGTGCCTGCCTAGCATGCACCGGCCCAGGCTGTGAGCCCAGTACCAGGGGGAGAATCCGAGGTTAAGGTAAATGTGAAGTGGTCAGCTGTCAGGAGAGCTGGGAGACAGAACCACAAGGCCAATGTGGCCAGGCACGTTCCCTAACTGCCCTGCCCTGCGGCCGCCCTGGATGCCGGGAGATGTAGCATCTGCAGCCAAGGACTCAGCATACACACTGGAGGCCTTATAAGCAGGAACGGTCCTTGCACATTTTTGTTACTAAGTACTAAGACCTTCAGGAGCTGGGCAAGATGGCGCACCAGTACTTACGAGGCTGAGGCAGGAGGATCTTCATGAGTCTGAGGCCAGCCTGGACTATATAGTTCAAGCCCAGCCTGAGCTACATAGCGAGAGCCTGTCTCTTCGCCCAGCTAAGACTTTCAGTAATCTTGGAAAACTCAGTGACCCTGACTGAAAGGTGCAGAAAGAAGCCTGTCACATGGGACCTGAGACATGCAGAGGAAGCAGCCAAGTGCCTGCCCCTGCCGTACCTCTGGGGGTCAGGTGGCTCCACGACCATTCCCAGCTCCTTCCCATGGTCGTCGCAGTCACTGGCCTGAGAGTCCTGCCCCAGGGAGCTGCTCTCGGGGGCTTCATTTCCGCTGGAGCCACTGCTCATGTCCACATCCTCCTGCAGCGAGGCCTGGCCGGGCGCAGGCTTCATGGGCTTCTTGGTGGGGTTGTCAGGGCTGAGGGGAAACTCCACAAATCCATTCATGCTGGAGAAGCTGCAGGAGAAATGTGGTCAGGAGTTAGAAGGAGCACAGGGTGTCTCCCCAGCACCACCAAGCCCGTTCCTGGCTTCTGAGCTCCCCTTGTTGTACTCGAGAAGGCAGCTCCTGGCCTTGCTGGCACAGGAATCCTGAAGCTGCGCATCCACTGACAGCCACCACTAGCTCTTGGGAGCTTTGTGAATGTCACCCTGCACGGGAAGCCATGCCTGAAGCCAGCATCTGATGATCTCTCTGCACAGGGCCAGCAGGGCCAGCAAGGGTGGCCACAGCACAACAGAGGTCCAGGAGGCACTGTGGGTGGGGGTCTGTGGGGAGATGAGGCTGTCCAGGGAGAGGGCTCCCCAGGGACTGGGTGGCGGGTGTGGTGCCTCCCGTGCCTGGGCCCAGGACCAAGGCGAGGATGGGACCCTCAGTTGCCCTGAGGACCAGGAGCCCCTGCTGCCCCACACTACTCATGGTCACATACTTGGGCAGCACTGCTTCCTGCTGCCCACTGCTCTAACTGCCTGGCACCCGGGGTCCTCATGGTGGGCCACAGCAAGAGTCCTTCTGCCCACATGAGCTCACCTCCTGGGGTACTCAGATACAGAACAAGAGCCAGAACCCCTGGCCTAGAATGAGTGCCAGGGACAGAGTGCACATTGGTGGCAGGCCAGGCCATGGGGGGCAGCACTGAGTGCAGGTGGCTCTGACCAGGATCCTCAGGTTCTGGTCCTGAGCTTCGGCCCCCAGCCTTAAGCTAAGGCCTGAAGGCTCTGGCTCCTCTTGCTGCTGTGGACCTGGGCCAAGTGCCACACCATGGGTGGGCTCACCACCCCAGCTGCTACCGGCAGGCTGAGCAAGGCCAGGGAACTTGTGCTGCGGGGGACGGGAGATGGAAGGAGCTGGCTGAAACCTCCAGCTCTCCTCAGTGGGCCCTTCTGTTCCCTCCTTACCTCCTTTCTTGGGCAGCCTTGTTGATGCAGTGTCTGTGACAGAGACCACTGCCTCAGGAGGGCGCTAGCTCATGTGCCACCAAGCTATTCTTCCCCACTTCCCTGTCCTTCCTTCCTGCCACCCTGCAACTGCCCCTTTGGGAAAACTGAGGCTTCCAGCTGGCCCCAGCCTGCACATTGAAGACCCAAAGCACCTGCTAGAAACAGGTAGAGTGTGGGCCACTGCAGGGGTACCAAGCTGGGCAGGGGCCACAAGAGCAAGGTCCTGGGGTTGGCAAGTGCCTGGCCCGTTTGAGTAAGACAGAGGCGGAGCTGCTTCCACTGGCTGAGGTGTGAGGTGCACCAGTCCCAAGGCAGGGGTGGGTGGTGCAGGGGTCCTCCTGGGGATCCAACCTGACACCCTAGTACTGCTGAGAGCTGTCCAGGGTGCTGAGGACCGCTGACCCCAGCCCCTGGAGTCTTGGTCTCACCACACCTCAGACCAGCAGCCTGACTTTTCTGCTATGACCCAATCACCACGGTGACAGGCTCAGCAGAGTGGTCATGTGAACAGGCCCTGGGGGCCAGGGTTTCACTGGGGCTCCCCTGTTTCCTGGTTGTGTGACCCTTATCAAGCTCTCAGCCTCTCTGTGCCTCACTTCCACATCTCTAAAATGGAACTAACAACCATCCCTGTCTCATTTTGGTGGCTGGGAGGATTACAGGACACAAACTGTGCCAAGCAACTGGAATGTAGCAAGTGTCCATAAGTAACTTTTATTACCACTGCTAATCACTGCAGGAAAACAGAGGGGCATGGAAGAAAAATTTGCTGCTTGAAAAGTTCGGCTTTTCCTGGTGCTCCTGGGGCTAACCCCAGGTCGGGGCCCCAGGAGCCTGCCTGAGTAGGATCCACCAGTATGAAGACTGTCTCAAGTGGAAGAGACATTTTCTTGCAAAGAGAATGATGTGAACCCAGGAGAAATGTGCAGCACAAACTGAGCCAAGTCGTTGGGAAGCCCAGAATCCCAGAAAATGCACCTCTCAGCACCAAAACACTCGTGGGTGACCTTGGTTTGCCAAGCTGGCCGAACCCAACGTTGGCGGCTGTCTAGAGCAGACTTTGCCTCTGCACTCTGGAGGGAGGAGCGGCTCCCAGGGAACCTGTTCCGCAGGGCAGCGGTGCTGAAGGGAGGGGACAGCCTGGCTTCACTGGTCACCCGCTGGCTCTGGCTCTGCCTCTGGAGAACAGGCAGAATGAGGAACAGGGGTGGGCGGGGTCACTCCGCCAGACAGAGGCAGGCCAGAAAGTGCTGTGGGATGACGTCAGGAGTCTGGATCCAGTGGGGTGGGGAGCAGGGCCAAGGCCAGGGCCACAAGGCTGGCTGCGCAGCCCTGGGAGTGCTCGTGGCCCCCCCCCAGGTAGTTGTGCATACTTTCCTTGCTGAGCCATCACAGCGAGCTCAGACAGCTGGGCTAGCTCAGTCTCTGCAGCCACCTTGCACCCCTCCAACCTGATGAGGGAATGCACACGCATCCCAGGGACCTCCAAAACCAGTGACTGTCCCAGTGCTCATGAGGATCACTTTTAGAGGGGAAGGGTGATTGCTGGCATGTACTGGAGGTCATAGCCTGACGTGCCCCTCCCCAGCTGGCTCACAGCACCAGTTTGGTTTCCCACCTTATATAACAGCACTAGACAGCCTGCTCTGTGTCTGTGCCTGTGGCGTTCCACAAGCCGGAATATCATAACACGTTCCTACTTCCTGCTCTGAGCCAACTCCCTGGGGCCAGCCTGCTGTAATCCGGAGAAAATGTTTGTCCTGGTAAATAAACAACCACGCTCTCCATGGTGACGGTTGGGTAACTGAGGAAAATGTGACCAGGCCTGTTCAAATATGGAAGGGAAGGAGGCACACGGGCATCTTCACAGCGTCGCCACGCTCCCCTAGCAGTGTTTCAGCCCTTACACAGGAGAGGGACCCCGCTGTGCAGCAACAATGCCAGGCTGGGCTGAGCTGCCCTGCAGGCAGTGGGCTCTGCTCTTCCAGTCCCAGAGCTGTTCTTACTTTACCGGGTTCTCCACTGTCATGGCGAACGGGTCCTGATTCCTTACATCACCCCTAGGAAGAGCCCTAGGGGTGGGCATGGCAGCACCAACCCCTAAACCCCTACCTGGGTTGCCAGCCAAAAGCAACCCCGTGGCCTTGGCCCATTCCAGTGTTGCGTGCACTTGCTGCCTCTGGCTTGCTCTGGGCCTGAAACTGCAGTGGCCAGCTAGCAGGGCACCGCGCACAATGGGCACAGACTGGAGAAGGCCCAGGCAGGTTGAGGTGGCCAGCAGGCACTCCGGCTCCTTCTTCTTTGGGTCTGAAGGTGGGTGGTTCCCCAAGGGACAGACCTAGGGGTCTGCAGAGCTGTGGGTTCAGGAGTTTCCAGTCTGTTCCGCTGAATATGGTAGTTTCACAAAGGTCAAAGCTACCACTCTGTCCTCCAACCACACAGGGGCAGGTCCCCCAAGCCACCTGGCAGTTGTCCCAGCCAGAGCCAAGGTCTGTGTGCTGAGCAGAGTGCAGGTGCACCCGTCCCACTTTCTCTGCAAACAAGCCTTACAGGGTGGCGCTACAGGAGCCCGAGGCAGGACCATTGGAAACCTCTTGTCTCCCACATAGGAGCCTGGGAAAGTCATCTGTGAGTGACAGAAACCCAGAACTCAGGAACTGAACAGGTCTGACCCACTCCTTGAAACAGAGACACCAAGGCCTGGCGCAGTGCCAAGCCGCTGGCTGGCAAAGGGGAGAGCAGGGCTGCGCCAGCTCTGTGCCAATGAATCACTCTATGGTGCTGGTGACACACGAGTGTAAGCACTCCCGGTGCCAGCCTGTGTTGGCACATCACGTAGAGCTGCTTGTGAAGGGAAGGAGTCCCTCACTTTGTGACAGTACACGACAGGGAAAGGGGGTTGGCCGTTTCATAAACAGCTTCCAGCAGAGCCACACATTCAGCCCTGTTCCTTCTCAGCTAAGAGCCAGGGACAGGGGAATGAGGGGGGTCTCCCCTTCAGAACCAGGAAGCCAGCTGCTGTGCTGGGCCGGCACAGGAGGTAAAGGATCCCAGGGGGGTGCCTGCCATGTGCCGCCGGGTTCGGGTGCCTGTCCGGGGCAGGGGTCGCCCTGCACAGTTTCCAGGGAGCCTCCTGGCCCTGCTGTTCCTGCTTATGAATCAGCCTCCAGGCTGCTCCCTCTTTGTAAGCTCCGGAAACCCTGGCAACCAGGTTGTCCTCCCTCACCCTGGCCCTGAGGGAAGCAGGCCACGGCCCAACCCAGCCCACGTCTGCACTGAGCAGCAGATGATGTTACTGCCCTGCCTCACAGTGGGCCCCCGATCTGCCCAAGGAGAGGGAAGGAGTTCAGGCGGTCCAGAGTGGGCAGAGAGCTTGTGCACCACGGGTCACCCTGGCCCCGCTTGGGCAGGGGCTTTCTTGTCTCTGCCCACCCACTTCAGGGGACTCAGCACTGGGCTCGCAGGCTTCTGACCAGGACGCCAGCTAGCTCCCCAGCGGCTCCATATACCAGGGACAGTTATACCAACCCTTAGTTCGCTTAGCCTCCCTGGGGGTTAGCAGGGTGTCTTGGAGAAGAAAGTCATCCGCAGAACAAGAGTCTGGGGTGGCAGTCAGGATCGCTGCGATCATGAACAGGCTGTCTAACCTCGCTGTACCTCAGTTTCTCCATCTGCAGAATGGGGCCACTGACACCAACCTTGCTGAGTTTCAGTGGATGACACCGTTGGCGTCCTGCACACCCCTCCCAGCCACCGCCGCGATTGGGCAGGAAGGCGTCGAGAGGCCCAGAAAGGTCTGGGCGGGCGCCGGACCCCCGCCTGCCCGGCCGGCCAGGCGTTACGTAAGCGGTCCGGCAGTCTGCGCACCGCCCTACGCACCCTCTGCGCACTCACCGCCGGGCCACGTCTGGCCTGCCCGTCCGTCGGCCCCTCGGCTGGTCGGTCCGTCTGCCCCGCCTGATTGCAGCTGCCGCCCGCCCGGAGCAGCTGGTTCCCCGCGCCGCCAGCGCCGCGCAGATCGCCGCTGTCACATAGTGGAAAACGTGACCGCGCGCGCTGAGCCCGCCTCCGCAGTCGGCCATTGGTCGAGGAGCGGCCTCATCTGCATACCGGGGGGGCCGGGCCTGCCAGAGCCGCGTGCTCATTGGTGGCGGGATCCATCGCTCTCTTTACATAAGCTGCACATGGAACTCCATGTTCCTCGCTTCTGTTCTCAATGAAGCCGCGACGCGCTCGAGCCCCCTCCTCGACCTCCCGAGTGGTACCTTCCACTTCCGGCCTCGCTGCCTTCCATTCACTCGCCGGGCTAAGACCTGCTAGCGGAGAGTGGAGTAGCGCGTACCACTGCAATGCGGGGGAACTGGGCGACGGACCCTGCGTACCTCACACTCCACCGAAACCATGGTTCAGAAGACCTGCCACCTTCGGTGACAACCGGGCGCGCGCTCCCAGGCCCGCGGGAAACCTCAGGCGAACGCACTTCCATCTCTCGGTCCATTTCATTCATCAACATGGTCTCTCATTCATTCATCACCAGGCTCTGGAACTGCGGGGACAATCAGGGCGACCTGACCTGCAAGAGTTGCCGTTGCATGCCCGCCCACCCAAGTCACCGGGTGCCCGTGGTTGACACTTGTCCCACATTGGCTAGGACAGCCGGCTTTCAAGTAGTCCTTATTTTTGAAACCATGTGTTGCAATTTTTGGTTTAGGAAGTAGGGTAATTGTTACAGTGGAGAGGTACAAAAGAAAGGATGATGTCTCCACCTCCAAGCACGTCATCAAGGACAGGACAGCCTTCTGAAAACGGAACTAGAAACTTAATCAAATAGTAAATTGGGTCGTGTGGGTTTCAGTTTAAGGAGAACAGGAGCTGTCCTGGAAGCTCGGTGGAGGAGGCTGACCTCAAGGTGTGGGAGGAGTGGCATAGGTATTCTGGAAGGAGCGTCTTCCCAAGGGCCCTGTCACAGAGATGCACCAGCCAGGGCTGGCAGGCTCCCGGGGACAGTGCTGGTCCCTGGAGTCACGCAGCTGAGGCTAGCTGTTCTTTTAGTGAGCAGCCAAGGGGTGGTGGTGGTGTGTGTTAAGTTCCTGACCTCCTGCTCCAAGATTATGGGAGAGTGTGCACTTTCCCCTGGGACCACCCCTAGGCCTGCGACTTATTTGTAGGACACAGGAAACAGTTGGTGGGCCCTGAAAATGAGGGAGGAAAGCCTGGACTGGTTTGGAAGGACTAGCAGGCCCGAGGCCTCGTCCTAGTAGATCCTGGGTCTGTAGCGTCTCCCTCCACTCTTCCTAGGCTTCCTGGGCTTCTCCGGGGAGCCAAGATGGCAGGAAGAGAAGATCACCAGCCTGCAGCTTGAGGGCAAACTGCGGTGCTACCCCACATCCGGGGAACGCACAGCCTCTCAGCTGCAGAAGAGGCACTACCTCGTGCACGTGGCGGCCTGCTTTTGGCTCCCATTGTAGACAGGCAGCCCTCCTCCTATCCTCTGACACTGAGTCCCGTCCTCTCCCAACACAGACACGCACACCCACACACACACACTCCAACATGAATGCCAAGCAAATCCAAGCCCAGCTGCACCCTACACACACCCCAGAGTGCTTTTGTTTCTTCATTGCATTGACGTCAATGGTGGCTCCATTGTTGGAGAAACCAAAGTAAACAGACAGCTCATCCCCACCTCATAGACTCCCCTTCAAGCTCAGCTTTTTTTTTTTTTCTGGTCTTGCTCTAAATTCAGCCTGCAACCTTGTGCTGTGTTTCCTCCTCACATTTAGCCTTTTCTGTTTCCACCAGGGCTATCCATGCTTTGAGCAATTCTCGATGCTGTGGGCACACAGAACTCTGTGGAATTTGGTCTGGTTTTGGTTTCAAGTTCTCATTCCCTCCACGAATGTTTGTTGACACCTGGCCGGTGGAAGTGTGTGCGCGCTGTGTGAATCACCCTTCTGTTGCTAGGATAAAATGCCTGACATACGCAGTTTAAATAAGAAAAGTTTTATTTTGGCTCACGGTTTAGGAGTTTCATTTGGCGGAAGAAACTGCTCCTCATGGCAGTTAGGGAACGAGAAGTGTTGGAAAAAGCCAAAGAGGAGGTGGGACCCCAGACAAAAATGTGCCCTTCCAGGGTACGCTCCCAGGGCCCTCAGCTGCCAACTATGCCGCACTCCTAATGGCGTATGCATCTGGGAACTGTGACCCCATCACCTTGCAGAAGCTCCACCTCCTCACGCGTAAGCTTTGGGGGGACCTTCTTTTTGATCACCCTGGACCTGAAGCCAGGGGCTTTGCCCTGAGCTATATCCTCAGCTCTTTCTTATTTTTTATTTTGAGATAGGAACTTACTAACTTGCTAAATTGCCCAACTGCACAGTGAGCAAGGTGTTCCTTGGATACCTACTATGCCCCAGGCTCTGGATTTATGCAGATCTTCCTCTTCTTGTAGGTCAGGTGTTTTGTTGGCTGGCTCCCTGCGGCCTAAGCTGGAAAGGGAAAGGACAGCAAGCTGGCAAGAGAGCGACCTTTGTGCACTGAGGTGTATGTGGCCAGTAAAGCCCTTTCTAGGGTGTCAGGGACACTGACACTCTCTCTGGCCTTAGGGACCCTAGAGATGAGGAGGTCCGAGCCTTTTCTGGCCTGCTTTGTGCTTGGGGCTTGGCAAAGTGGAGTTCCCAGGGTGTGGGCAGTGTCCAGCCCCCTGCAGGGTGAGTCAAGGCCTTTCTATCCACAAAGACCTAGAATCCCTGACCCAGGGACAGGTGGCTCCTCCTAGATATAAGGTAGACTAAGAACCACCATGAAGATCATGTCGTGGTCATGCTAGCTGCCTGCTGGGAAGGTTTTTTTTTTTTTTTTTTTTTTTTTTGTTTGTTTTTTGCAGAACCAGGGATTGAACTCAGGGCTTTGTGCTTGCCAGGCAAGCACTTATTCTACTGAGCCATCTCCCCAGCCCTTGGGAAGGGTTGCTTGATTTTTAAATATGGATACAAGAATGCTGTCCTTTGAGGCAGATGTGTGACCTATGCGTGTGTGTGTGTGTGCGCGCGTGTGCGTGTGTTCATGCACCTTCCCTCAGGAAGTCACGAGGCTGAGCTGTCAGCAGTGTGCATGCATCCCCAATCTTTCTTTGCCCACTGCTGGAGAAGAGGCTGTGAGGAGGAACTGGGCAGGCTTTGCCCAGAGCTCCTGCCTGGGGGTTGCCTTCCACAGCCCTGTTGGCTCTTGGGAAGGAATGCTCTCAACACCACAGTCCTGGCACACACAGGTCAGTGTCCACTGGGAGCAGTGAGAGCAGATGTCCTTGCTGGGTCCTCTCTGGAGGGGTCAGCCTTTCACCTTGAGTGTTTTTGTTTGGCCATTGTCATATATAGAAAGTTCCCTTCTATTGTGACTTGCCAAGGAATTTTGTTTGTTTGTTTGTTTCTTGAATCCTGGGAGTCAAACTCAGGACCTCATACTTGCTAGGCAGGTGCTGCGCCACTAAACTAAATCCCTGGCCTGAGATTTGGTTTTGTTTCATAATACACTGGTGCAGTGGGCATTTACTACATGATGATTATAGCTACTTTAAAAATATCTCCCTCAGATGGGCCTCATCTGCTTTGCACAGGTCTTTAAACAATTCACATGGCCATAGTCTTGTCTCTGTTACGCAGCACTCTGTACTTTGTTGTATATTAAAATATGAGTAAGCAAGAGTGTCTGAGAGTCTGCTGTGTTAATGATGGTCTTCTCCCTCTGTTGCTATAGGAACCCCACAATTACACATGTACCTGACCAGCATCTGATTAGCGATTTTGCACATAAAAGACATGGTTTTAACTAAAGAAGAGAAGAAACCAGAAAAGAAGGAGGAGGAGGAGGAGGAGGAGGAGGAGGAGGAGAAGGAGAAGGAGAAGGAGAAGGAGAAGGAGAAGGAGAAGGAGAAGGAGAAGGAGAAGGAGAAGGAGAAGGAGAAGGAGAAGGAGAAG